GTGGGCATGTCGTGAGTGGAGCCGGCTGGAGCTGGGGGTCAGACTAGATGGCCAGGGAGGCCCCTTCTGACTCACTCTGTTTCTAAGTTTCTAGATGGAGGGACGAGTTCTCTCGTGGATGCGCTGCACTTGCGTAAGAGAGAATTCCTCTTGTCAGGGCAAAACCAGTCCTTTAGTGAACATTCCCTGCTTGTCCATTGAGGAAGATCCTGAAAAATCGAGGGGCCGGTTGACGGGGAATGTTGGTGTTTTAAACGAGTGGGCTTAGGACTCTTCCTTGGCCATGGAGGGTCGGTAATGGTTGCCACCCAACATTATCTGCCCACGCGGATCCTGCAACGGAGGAAAGCTGTGGGTCCTTAGAGCACTACTTGAAAACCAGCTTGTTACCTGAATAATCAGCCAGTTAGACCGAGAAAAGGCATTGTAGCTGGAGACGGGAGTGATGTTTTTAGTTAAAGTAGGAGGCTATGCTAGCAAAAGGAGGGGATAATGGGTTCTTCTGTCCGAGAGGGGTGTATCCGTGACAGTTGGCCATCGTTACTCAATGGAACAGCCATGCTCCGAAGCAGTCTACCTGCAGACCCCCAAGTCAGGATGAAGAAGCACTGTAGAAATCGCTTGTTTGGACAGATAGAGATCTTGACTCTTTGCTGAGGAAATTGTATTTTAGCAAGCTTCCTCTAAGGAGGGAAAGGAGGTTGTATCTCTCTTCCTAGCTGGGCAGATGTGGTTTGGGCAACTTTTCAAAAGCCATCCACATTGGTCTGAATCGAGCCAGGTGGAAAATGTGGTGAAGGCTGCAGGGATGTGACTCGTGCCAGGAAAATGGCAGCACCACCGCGAAGCTGAATACTTTGCAAACCTGTTTGAGCAACCCGAAAAGGACCTTTCTCTTCCTTTGCCTCTAACCTAGTTTCACATCCCGTGGGTGTCCCTGCCTGCTTTTCGCCTTGTCAGCTTGGAATGTTACGCAAAAGTGCATCTCCAGCCCCCAGACTCTGCAGTTCTTGCATGTGAGAAGGGGTTCCGGAGAGTTCTGTGCTTTAAAGGGACTAACACCAAAACCGCTTTGGGTTTAACACTCGAGTTGGGAATTTCTCCAGAAAGGCAAGTCTTGGGTTAGTCTCATTCTGTTTTGAATTCTCATTGCTGGGTTTTGCCTGCAAACTCAGGGAGCTGGGAGCTGGATGCCTTGCACCAGAAATGGCAGATGTTTTGAGAAATAGCAGATTATTCTGTGCTTGCTAAAGGCAGGCAGTGCTCCTGAGAGACCTTCTACGCCAGATCCACCCTCTGATGTCTTTTGGCATTAGAGGACCTGCTGGGGGATTCTCCTTCTGGCTGGCGTTGGAGTCACTGAGGCGGTAATGACTCAGATTGTATGCTCCACATTATTTAACCATGTCACATCTTGGAATGCTGAAGAGTTGCTTTATTAAAATGATTTATGGCAAGGATGGTGGAGTGCTGGAAAAGCACATTCTTGCTTCTGAAGCCTGGGAAACCGAAATGGCTCAACTCAGAATAGCGTCTTTTAAATTGAGTGGTTTAGTTGTCTCGCAGCAATATCAAGGTGCAGAGTTTTGCCCCCTTTCCTGTGTGTGTACATGTGTGTGCATTGCACAAGATCTCCCATTAAAAGGCATCTGTGTTCATGTTCAACACAATTAAATAACATTCGAATCAAGGCAAACTAGCCAAAAAAGCCATTATTTTATTGCGATCCATGCTGAGAACAGTTGCCGATGGTTGATCCATAATTATTTCCAAATAAATAAATAGAGACTTGGGCAGAAGTGACCAAATCCCTGAAGGATATGGACTGTGACAACTCTAATTAACAATATTTATTGGTAAAGCAGATGCAAAAAATAAGACAGTGATTTTCAAAGGGCTGAAGAAAGGGTTTCTGGTAAATTCACAGTAATGTGTTGTTTATCCAGTTTATATAGTGATTCCCAGCAAAGTTATCCAAGCAGTGGACATAATCACAACTGCAGAATTAAAATACAATTATAAAATACTACAATAAAACCATTCTCCGAATTGGCAGTAGAATTGTGTCTGTAACTGGACGAGTCATCAGCCTCGGGAAAAGCAAAAGCACTCCAGCAGCATTCCCTCAGCAGGGGCCTTTCAGGTGTCTTGGACTACAGTCCCCATCAGCCTCATCAGGGGTTGATGTCACTTGGAGTCCCATGCATTTGGAGGGTGCCAGTTCAAGTATGGGGACCTCTAAACATCCAAACCAGTGGTTCTGATCCGTTTCTGTGCCCCACACACCTAGAAATTTTTTTATTTATGTTCGCGCCCTTTACCAAAGTAATATATTTGAGGAAGAAGTCAGATTTCTAATTTTTGAACCACACAGGGCATTGCAGGCTAACCAACTGAGCTGAAAAAATAAGCGTTTAATTCCGTGCATAAAACACCCTTTTGGTGAATCATGACGCAGCCTTCCTGTTTGTCCCCACTGACATGCCATGTGCAGCCCCCCAGGGTGTGGGCACCCCATGGGAACCCCTGGTCCAGATGCCCCGATGGCTGTTCGCATGTTGCCTTGCAAAGAGCACTGGGGAAGTCGGCTGCATCGAAACAGCAAGAAGTGAAGTGGGGCTTGGGACTTCCTCTCCAGCTCCCAGGCAGAGGATGAAAAGAGGTCACCTTGCACCGCGCAAAACCGACTCGGCACTGGCTCTCCCTCCATTCACAATTTGCAGGCTGTGGGTTACAAAGCAAGCCGCTGTAGTACAGCTAAAAATAGAGAATATGATATAAGTACTTTTTTAAAAATTAAATAGAATATCAGGCAAAACAATTGCTGGCACAGGAAGGGGTATGAAGAGCTGTCAAAATCTTGAACCGGGTCTCTGAAATGCTTGGGAGAAAGCAAAGTTCTTGGCTTGCCCATCCATGACCCTCTTTGAAGAACTGATGCTGTGAAGGGGGTGCCTCTCTTGTAACCCCCGTGTGGTTTCCCTGGGCAGGGACATGGGGACAAGGGTCCCTCAGCTCTTTGGGGTCCGAGGAGGGATGCTCAGGGGAACATGGGCCTTTAGTCACGCTTCATGCCTTCTAAGGCATTCCAAGCCGCTCGGGATTTCTCTGCCCGCTTTACTGTGGGCGGCTGGAAGCCCTTTCCAGTGGGTGGCCTTTCTCATCCTCATGAGCAGGTTACTGCAAAGCGGAGAGATGTGCTCCCCAGATTCTCTGCTCTGGGGCCCATTGGCAAGTTATCTGCGACCGTGCCCCAGAGTGGCAGTCCTGGGTACTCTCAAGAGTCCGCTCCCCTGCTCGAAAGCAGTGCTGAAGGCTAAAGCGGCTTGGCGTAGCATTGGAAAGTGGTCCCAGCCAAGCGTCAGCCCCCCAAGGGAGAGAGATGGAGGTCTTCCGTTGCACAAGGGTGTCACACATACGCAGCGCGATGTGACCATGCTTTCTTTCCCATTTGCAGCGGGGGAGTTGCGATCTTGTTCACTGCTTGTTTTGACTGAACGACTTCTGTGGGGGCAGTCGTGTAAAAGTTGACTTTGCTGCTTCCTGTTTCAGATTGATACGCATTTTTTAAAGCAGCATGTAAATTTCCCTTTTTGTACACAGGAATCCAAAAACTCACACGGTTGCACTTAGTTTATCTCTAAATCCTGCATATCAATCTAAGAAGTTTGATTAAGAATGGGGGCCTGAGTTTGACCATCCCTAAAGGGTCTGAAACATGCTTAGATGTAAAGAACTCCACTGTGTCCTTGGGCTAGAATATTATTTGCAACCCCAAAGCTTCTGAATTTTATTAATGTTAGGTTTATTGATCAATTAAATTCTACATTCACTGGTCAGCTCAACATCAGACATCGTGCAACTTGCTTCCAGTTCCACATACTCAGAAATGCACTTTTTGTCTGGTTCTGCAACAGTGATTGGCTTGTAATGTTTTGATCAGCATGTGCAATATTTAGAGGTGCGTTTTGCACCTCTAACTGGGGGTCCTCTAACTAACAGCTAACTGGGCAGCCGTTTAAAATAATACTATTTTTAAAAAACTAAAACCACTCGTGGAAACAGCAGATGAAGTACACCCTCTGAAGAAAGAGCATCTCCTCTCGTGCGATGGAATGGCTCTGCTTAAGAGGAAGTCTAATTTAAAAACGTATCTATGAGAAATGAAGTAGGCCTCTTTTCCATCAGCCTTCCCAACCTTCCAGGGGTGTTGGATTACAGTCCCCATTATCCCAGCCAGCAGGGCCACTGATGCCCAAGGTGAGTGGGGATGATGGGGGTTGTGGTTCAACACATCTGAAAGCTGTCGTACCCTTGTGCGAACTCCGAATATCAGGAAAAGTTTCCTCGCTGTCAGAGCAATACGGCAGTGGAACTGGCTGCCTGGAGAGGTGGGGGGCTCTCCCACACTGGAGGCATTCAGGGTGAAACTGGCCAGCCCTCTGAGTGGGATGGTATGACGTGGTGTCCTGCAGCAGCAGGGGGTTGGACCCGATGGCCTTCTTGGCCCCTTCCCACTCTACTGTTCTACGATTCTGTGATCTATGAAACCCAACCGATGCATTCTAAAGAGACCATCGAACCACTCGCTTTTGAACTGGGGGCCGGCCGGCCTGGCAGCTCCCATCTGTCGCAGCACGCAGAGGAGGCAGGCAGCACTTTCTGCAAGCCATGGTTTGCCTCCGCGGCAAAGCTGCCAACCACTGGATTCGATGGGCACAGCTGTTGCAAGCCCGTCAGTGGCTGGGGGGAGAGAGAGCAGGAGGGGCACACGGCCTGGAGCTGAGAGCACTGCCGAGCCGAGCACGCTTGGGTCTGACGGCTGAGCCAGCCCGGGGCTCCCACCGAGGCAGAACCTCAAGCCAGCCGGGAAGACAGTCCTCTTATTCAGAGCAAGTGGGTGGCCGTGGGCGGTTGCACACGATTCCCTGCCTCTCACCATCTGGCTCTCTCTCTCTCTCTCTCTTTGGCAGCTTGCCGGGAGGTGGAATGGAACAGTCATGAATGGGCAGGCCTTTTGCCAAGAACCCCCCTCCCAGCTTCCCGACTGGAGGGAATTCTGCGAGCTGCATGCGCAGGCCGCTGCCGTGGACTTTGCCCAGAAGTTCTGCCAGTTCCTGAAGGAGAACCCGCACTACGACACCCCCGGGGCAGAGACCTCGTTCTCCCACCGCTTCGCCGCCAACTTCTTGGACATCTTCAGCCTGGAGGTCAACAGAGTGTTTGTGTCGAACGCCCCCGCCAAATACAACATCGTGCCTTTTGTCGGGCTTCAAAACTGCCACATGCCTTATGGGCAGGACCTCCTGCCCAGGAAAGAACAGACCTCCTCCGAGTCGCTGGACAGCATGGACAACCCGGTCCCCGCCAGCAGGCACCTCGGCCAGTCGCAGCAGCTCCAGGTGCGGAAGGTCTCCTCGTACGGCCAGTCCCGGAGCTCGGAAGACGTCTCCGTCCACGCTACCTCCAAGCCCAAGTTCAAGAAGGGCTTCTCCTTGCGCAACATGAGCCTGTGTGTGGTGGATGGCATGAAGGAGATGTGGCACAGGCGGTCCTCCCCGGAGCCAGGAGCAGAAGGCACCCAGAGCCGGCGGTCCGATCGGGAATACTGTCCCGGGAGCAAGGCGCACGGTGACTCCAGGGAGAAATGGACTCACAAGCTCTGGCTTTCCAAGGGGCAGTCGCCCAAGGTGGATCTGGTGGACATCCAGAGAGAGGGAACACTCCGATACATGGTTGCTGACGATACGAACTGCGTGGGCGGCTCTCAGTGGCAGAAGTGCCGTTTGCTGCTGAGGAAAGCTGTGAAGATGGAGGGAGAGCGATTCCTTCTAGAGTTCTATGTACCTCCTAAGGTAGCAATATTCCATTCGTATTCCCTTCACTATTCAGTATTCCCATTCAGTATTCCCTTATAGCAATATTCCGTTCGTAGCTTTAGAGAAGCCGGCAGGGGAGCAAAATGCGCACTTTCTCCAGAACTGGGGAATCCATGGTTTTTGCATCTGCACAGACGGGAATGATACAGGCCTGATGCTTCCGGACATCCAGGGCCTTCCTCCATGCGCCCTGGGGCTTGCAATGACCTGCGCCGACTTCAGTGCGTCATGTCACAGCTATGCAAGCCAGGGTTGTGTGCGGGATCTGTTTTGGGGCTGGGAATCCATCAGATTCCCTGAGCTCAGCTTCCCAGGTAGCCGTCAGTTTTGTCACAGCCGTGCTTCCAAGATCCTGGCGAGGCCCCCAGAACTGCTGTGCAAGCAGCGCCCCTCTTCCACATCAGGTGCAGTGGGTTTTGTCCGCACTGTTACATGTGACGCAGAAGAAGGGTCCGAGTTCTGCATTCAGGGATTTCGGCTTGGCCCGGCTTGTTTTCTGAGACCAGGCCGAGAATGCCAGAGGGAAGGATTCTGCAAACCTGATACATGTGCAGTGCTTACCTGGGTGAAGGTAGCATAAGTCGTTTCCTGCAGCCGTTGTTCCACAACAGACGGCTTTTTCCACAACTGGGGTCCTTCCCAGGGAATGCTGCAAGGGAAACTCCGTGTAAACATGTTGCAGCAATTAATTGGCTGTGCCTGGCATTACAGCATGAATTGCTAAACCTAAGTTGGAATCTGAATTTGGGGGCCGTCTCTTGCACACAAACACACAGCCCGTTGTCTCTTTTTTTCTCCTTAAATTCAGGAAAAACACTGCATGTGACTTGAGATGTCAGGCCTGGCAAAGTTGCTCCGGGGTCCATCTTTGGCTCTTAGGGGTTCCTCGGTGCAGCAGGATCCCACGTTCTCGGAGGAGCTGCCCACCTCCCACCCCAGGGCAAGAGGCAGGGCCTGCAATCCTATAAAAAGCATCTGTTTCAGAGTTCAGGACCGCGATCTCTCATGTTTAGTCTTGGCGGCTTCCTCGTCGTCATCTGCGAAGTTCGGGCCTGGGTGCTTTGGTGCGTGTCTCCTCCGGATGTCGGTGCATTCAGAAATAGGGAAGGGTTGACTGAGCCACCTGGAGTTTGACGATATGGCGAGGGTTTGGTTCTTTCGCAACCCACACACACGGCCATGCAAGCCCTACCTGTGTCACCGGAGGCTCCGTGCACCGCGTGGTGTTTTCTCCCTTTGCTCTGTGACCCTGCAGGTCGGTCTTTCTGACGAGCATAAACTGGTTTTTCCCCTGATATTTGACATGGTGAGAATTGTTTGACAGCAGGGAAAATAGGAAAGCATCAGAAATGTCATGAAGATCGAAAAGTTAATAAAACACGTAGAATCGCCTTTATTCTAAGCTTGCTGGAAACATATTGGATGGGTTTAAAATGCATTCCTTTTTCTGTGGAAAGATGTTTGTGAGCTTAACAAATTTTGCTCAAGTTCCACTGGTAATTTAGGGTGTAGCTTGGCAGGTTGCCATCCAGTAAGGGTGCCTTCTCCAAGAAAGCCCTGCTTTATTTATTTGTTTTATTTATTTATTTGCTTGTTTGTTTATTTTTGCATTTATATGCCACGCCTCTGCTCCTAATGGAGTCTCCGGGCAGCTTACAATATTTAGTAGATTTATGTTTTAGTAGATTTATTTCACACTTTTTGCTTACAACAAACTGAAAGCAGCTTACATCATTCTCTCGCACTCAATCTTATCCCCACAACAACAACCCTGTGAGGTAGGTTGGGCTGAGTGTCTGTGGCTGGCCCAAAGTCACTCAGTGGGCCCCCTGGCCACGTGGGGACTCGAACCCGGATCACCTTGGTCCCAGCCCTGTGCTCTTCACTACAGCCTCACGCTGGCTTCACTACAGTTTTTGTGTCCCTGCAATTTTTGTCTTTTGAAAAGGGCTGGACACTGGTGAGGGCTCCCCTCCTGGAACTGGTGGCGCGACGCATGTGCAGGAAGCATTCGTTGGCTGTGTTCGGATGTAGCTTGAATCATGGTTTGTTACGGGACCAGCCTAGGTAAATCTTGGGTTGTGCCCTTCTCCTTCTCTCGGAGATGTCCCACTGAAGCATCTCTTCCCCAGACCAGCCTGGTCCCAAAGCTTCAGAGCCACTTCAGAGCTTGGCAGCTGTCAGGGCGTTAGTATGCATCTTTAATTAATTAATTAATTAATTAATTTTCTATACTGCCCAGCAGCCAAGTCAGTGCTCTCTGGGTGGTTCACAACAGCATATTTACACACGCACGTGCACACACACACACATATAATACACCATTAAAACATATTAAAACAGCATGAAGTTAACAATACACAAATAGAAACAGAAAAAGAACATAATTTGAGAAAACCCTATTAAACCCTGTCTAAAAACCAACAGGTTCCAGAAACTAATTAAATGCCCTGCAGTAGTTTACAGTCTTTACCTGGCACCGAAAAGATAGTCAAGTTGGTGCCAGGCGGGTCTCAGTGAGGTGCTTGTTCCAGAACGGGTGGAGCCACCACCGAAAAGGCCCGGCCCCCTGTTGCCACCACCCAAGCTGCCTCCCTCAGAGGTGGCAGTCAGGGGAAGGCTCCCGAGGCGAACGCAGAAGGGGATTTGGGAAGGGGGAAAGTGCACTCCAGCGAAAACTGCTTTGGGGAGGCAGGGTAGGGAGCAACCCACGTGTGAGGATCTCCCTCCCTCCCCGCTGGGGACCCTGCTTGGATGGCGGCCCCCAGGGAGACCACTTTTCTAGTGGAGAAAGAACAGTTGCACCTCCAACAAGGACCTTCCGGGCAGTCCCTGGTCATGCAGAGGGGGACAGCTCTCCCATGTCTTCCACAGCAAGACTTCCAAACCTCCGGTAAACCAAAGCAAGGGGCTTTCTTGGATCAGACTTATTTTTTATTTATTTGTTGAAAGCTTTTGTATGCCGTCCTGTTATATAAAAATCTCAGGACGGCTTACAATATTTAAAAGAGCCATTAAAACAACAACAATTTCTAATAAATAAATTGAAACAGAATAATATATAAAACAAAACAGTAAATCACAAAACAAAACTGACTGAACGTTAAAAGTTGTTGATTTTAAAATACCATTCAAATAAAAAGGTTTTGGCCTGGCCCCGAAAATAGTATAAGCTCTCCAGGCGTACCTCTCTGGGGGGTGCATGCCAGAGTCTGGGCGCCACCCCAGAGAAGGCCCTGCTCCGAGTTGATGACCTTTTTGCCTCTTCTAGAGAGGGTTCCCGGAGCAGGGCTTCTCCCATAGATCTTAAGGGGTGTGAGGGCATGTAAGGAAGGAGACGTTCCTTCAGGTATCCTGGCCCCAAGCCATTTAGGGCTTGATAGGTCAAAAACAGCACCTTGAATTGGGCCCAGACTTCAACTGGAAGCCAGTGGAGCTGGTGGAGGCCCAGCGTTATATGAGAATAATGACCGATCCCCATCAGCAGCCCGGCAGCTTTGTTCTGTACCAGCTGAAATATCCAGACCGTTTTCAAGGGCAGCTGGCCATTCCCAGAGCAAGGCGCCCTTTGTGGGAAACACCTGATCAAGTGCAGAGTCACCTCAGAATTTAATCTTGGGACAGCTTCTCTGGCAGGGCTCGTTTCTGTCTGAGACCCTGGAAAGTCACTGCCAGCTACTGTATTTTTCGCTCTATAAGATGCACCTGACCATAAGACGCACCTAGTTTTTAGAGGAGGTATCCATGGAAAGCTTCCTGATAATCACAGGCACATTTCCCATCGCTTCCCCATGGGCTTCATTAAAAGATGGGTTGCCATTTGAAAACACACACCAACCTGTGATTAACAGCTCTCACCTGTGCCGGGGGGGGGGGGCGGAGCAGGGCTCGCCGAGCGCGTGCCGGCCAGGTGGTGCCACGGGGTGCAGGCAGCCTGCAGCGTCCTGGGTGTCGGGCACACACACATTCGCTCTATAAGACGCACAGACATTTCCCCTTACTTTTGGGGGGGGGGGGAAGTGCGTCTTATAGAGCGAAAAATACGGTAATTATGTGTGTATCAGGACAGCTGTCAAAAGAAGAAGACAAATGTTCTGTTTCGGTAAATAAAATAAAGGCACACACAGTGATCTCTCTCGGTTTTGGGCCGCTTCCTGCATTATGCGCTTGGAGCCTGCTTGCTGCAGCCTCAGGGTCTCGCGGTGCCGAGTGGCAGAGTGTGTTTCCTTTTTTGAAGTGCATGGATTTGTCGGCACTCCCGCTGGCAGGTGTAGTGGCTGCTGGGTGCAAAATGCACAGCGGCCGTGAGCGGTTCCAAAATTGTAGCCCCAAATGTCATCTTACGTAAAAGTAAAACCCCTCCTCGTGCCACGCCGCTCTCGAAAGCCAAGCCGAAGGGAAGGAATTCACACCCGCTGAGCGTGGGTGGAAAATCCCATCCCAGTGAGGCGCTTTTAGCGCACCTGCAAGTTGTCGCCAAACAGCCAAGGGTTCGGGTTTCTATTCACTCCCTTCTAACCTTTTCTCTCATCTCCAAGGGGAACAAGCTTCTCCAGGCAGTTTAAGCTAGTGCTTAATTTATGAAAAGACCCCCAAAATGAGGAAGATTGAAAAGAGTTGCAGAACCCAAACAAAAATCAGACAGGCACCCATGGTGTTTAATTCCCAATAGATTCATGTTCCCAATGTGTTTAATTTATCCTTGTCAAGGCTAGTTAAGGATCTGAAGCTTTCAAACGTTAGTTGGAATTCAATATTGCAGATCCGAGTTAGAAGCAGAGTTCAGAACAGCATCTGGGAATTCTGAGGGATCCTTTTGCTGAAGAATTCTCTTGAAACACACAAATTTAATTAATTTATCCTTAGGGAAAGAGTGGCTGGGCTTTCATTTCTCTCTTACATGTTTTTAGACTACTGTTCATCATCAGAGTACCAGGGTGGTAAACAATGAACCTGAATATAACTAATCATATGAAATAATTAAAAGAATTCAGAGGCTGCATAAAACAAGCCAGCTGAATACAATGACGTTAAAATGCCTGGGCAAGCAAGTTTTGACCTGGCATTGAAAAATCAGGGTGCCAGCACAAAGAGGGCCCTGATTAGTACAGAATAAAGGTAAAGGTAAAGGTTTCCCCTTGACGATACATCCAGTCATGCTTGAGTCTCGGGGGCAGTGCTCATCTCCATTTCCTGACTGGCAGACAGTCTCCGTGGTCACGGGGCCAGCATGACTAAACACCAAAGTGCACGGAACGCTGTTACCTGCCCACCGAAGTGGTGCCTTTTTATCTACTTGTATTTGCATGCTTTCGAACTGCAAGGTTGGCAGGAGCTGGGATGGAGCAACGGGAACTCTCCCTGTCTGCGGATTCGAACCAGCTACCTTTCGATCTACCAGCCCAGCAGTTTAAACCACTGCGCCACCTGCAGTCCCCCTTAGTACAGAATGGACTTCCCCTAATCAGAGCATACAGAGGATTGAAGCTTTTCTTTTACCACTTTCTGAACTGGGAACGTTTTTCTGTGCTTCGGGGAGATAAACTCTGACTGGGTTTAGACAACCTGGATTCAAGTTGAGTGTGCGCTGTTTTTGTGGAATTGTGGTTTTTCATGTTTTTTGAATCCATTGGTGGACAAGCCACAGTTCACAACCCAGCAACAAGTGATGGGTTTTCTTCATGGGTTGTTTGTGGTTAGCAAACCTTGTTAACACTGCCAGGTTCAGACAGCACAATAACCCACATTTCAGCAATCTTCAACAAGATCATGCTGTCCAAACCCAGCATTTAGCAGGGATGAAACCCCGCTCCAATGTTCAGGCAATGTATGTGTGTTGTGAACTTGCTGGGAATTAATGAAAGGGCGGGAATAAGATGTAGCTTGGCTATTGACATTAGCTCTGGAGGTTAATTATTGCATTTCCTCTCCGCTTGATGTCTGAATTCTCTGAGATAGGCAGAGGAAAGTGAAAGACAGGTTCTTTTAAATCACATTTTATTTCACTGCCTCTCAACTTCACATGTGTTTGCCGAAAAACAGGAAACATACAAAAGGCATCAAGCTTGACATGCTTGAGCAAGTCTGTAGAATAAGATTGCGGACTGTAAAGGTACTGAATGTTTACGACTATCAAGAGCGATTTCTGGTTGAAGAGCCTGGATGCTCCTGACCTGTCTTGGTGATCAGAGGCTCAAATTGCTTCTGGGACATGGAGTCCCTTTTACCAAGCTTGGGGACCCTCTGTGTTCGACTCCTGTGCTTCTTTCCATGACTTTCCTTTTCTTCTTCTGCCTTCGACTTTCCCGAGTAGGATCGTCTTCTCCAGTGAGCCGTGCCTCCTCGGGAAGTGCCCAAAGTAGGATGGTATCATGGCCGTTTGACCTCTCCTGCACTGGCTCGCAGGATGTTCCTGTGTTCCATCCAAAGTGGTGCTTTCGAGCACTGAAGCCCCTGTCCAGGACAGCTGAAGGACTGCCTCCCTCCCTCCCTCCCTCCCTCAGCGAGGAGGGTCTTCTCCATGCAAGGCCCCAGTTGCTGCTTCCCAGAGAGGGTTTCCCGGTGCCAGTGTTTAGCGACCTTCAATTTCCCACCTTTTTTCAATGGATTCTGTTCTTGCTGACTGCCATATTGCTTATATAGTTTTGCAGCCTTTGGGTTATTTTTTTATGTATTTGCATTTCCCCTGTTTATATTATTTTGTCCAGATTGGAGGGAAGAGTATTTCCCCCTTGGGAGGGAGGGCAGAACATGGAAAGGGAGCTGGTGGGTCAGACGGGAAGGCCAGGTGGGCCATTTTTGGCTCATAGACCCGAGGTTCCCACCTCTACCTTCCTCTAATTTGTGGCGCAGCTTCTTTGGATTCCTGCATGCAGTTCTAAAGTCGTTGCGGCTCTTAAAGGAACTGGGAAGGGTGTCGGAAGCGGCTCCCCGGGTGACCAAGGGGTTGGAGCAGCTCCTGCAAGGAAAGGCTTGCAACATTTGCTGTTGGCTTGCTTAGCAAAAACACGAGGAAGGGGAGACATGATAGAACAATGCAAAATGATGTGTGGCATATGGAAAGTGGAGGGTCCTTCTCGTGACACTAGAACCTCAAAGGGGTCACCCAATAAAGCTGAACATCGGATGATTTGGGACAATCTACGGGAAGTCCTCTTTCCCCAGGCAGAATTGGATCCGCTTGTCTAAGGTGGCTGCCGGCTGGGATGGCTTTAGCAGATCTGCTCATGGAGGAGAAAGCCTTTCGCCATGTTGCGCATACAGAGGGCGCCAAAAATGGATGCACATTTTAAGGGAGGAAAAAACGGTGTTAACCACTGTTGTGTGGTGATGCTGGCATTCGTCTGATTAACGCCATTGTTGGCGCGGACGTCACACTACACATTGCTACCATGATTCAATTCAACTTTGAAAAATAATACATGGATAACATCTCTTAAACTGTGTATATGTTTTTGGCACCCCCTGTATATTTCTTCCAGTCTCACAAACCATGTGCCTGTGCTTGCCGGGGAGCATGAGCGGGGAGAGCCAGGGGTTCATGTCTCCAATGTGAGCTTGGTGGCTGTTGGGAACCAAAAGCTGGTCTGGAAAGACCGAGTTGTTGTTGGAAATGCACGTGGGTTTTCTCTGTTGTTCATGGGGACGATCTACTGGAAGCCTCTCTCTGCAAGCCCCTTTCAGACCAGAGAGACCAGTAGACGTGCACGGTGTGGACCAGTCCAGTTATTCTGGTGAGATTACACAGAAAAAGTGTTGGCCAGCACCTCGCCTTTTTAAGGTGCCGCCTTTGTCCTTTTTGCCAAATGCTTTGGCTTCCCCTTCCATGTTCTTTGGTCCATCCTCAGCACCTTTTTAAAACAGGGGACCTTAAAAATGAAATTCTGTTTCTCTGGAAAGACCCTTATTGACATTAAAAAAAAGAGGAGAAATGAATGTTATTGCTTCAGCCGGAATAGAACGGTGTGTGGAGATATGAAAATTAACTTCCTCTGTCTCCCACTGGGCGCTATGCTTTAATTAAAAGATTTTGATGGAACCAGAGAACATGAGGAAAATCATATTTCAATCATTGTACAGGCTGATAGAAAAGCTTAACAAGAAGGCAGATTTTTGTATCAGACTGCGCAGTTATTAAACCCACAATTCCCAAATGTTTTGGCCAGCTCCGGAGAAAAATGTTATTTCTACTCAGCTTCCTCCATCCATCCATCCATCCGTTCTTTTCACTTTGGCTTCCAGGCTTCCAAAGCGAAGGTTAGCATCCCTCTTTCAGCCATCATTGAGGTGCGTACGACCATGCCATTGGAAATGTTGGACCGGGATAACACCTTCGTGCTGAAGGTAAGGTGACCTTGTCAGCAAAGTGCCCGAATAATGTTGTGTCTTCAGAACTGTGCCTCTCAGCAGCTAATATTGCGACAAACTCAAGGTTTTTTGCTGCCTGGCACAGAATGTCAGAAACCCTCTTGGATGCCATTCACTCAAGGAGCTAGTCCGTTAGGTCCCCATTTTGCTTTGCTCTCCTGTCTCCCACCAACAGGAAAAATGACTAGCAGACAATGTCTGAATAAAATTGTGTGAGCGGATCGAACTGAAATAATTGTGCCCTTTCCAGCCATTCTGGGTTTCGCAGAGACTTTAAAGCAAGGCTCTGTTCTAGTTCAAGACAAACAGATTTCAACCCAAGCCTTGGCTTGCCCCCAAATCACACAGTAAACTTTTCCTTGGCCGTGCTAGTTTAGGTTACCGATGGAATGTGAGGAATGGGTCTCTTCCCCACCCGCCGTATGTGTGCGAGTATCGACTCCTTGTGTAATATGGCAAGGAGAAGGATCACTTGCTGGTTTCCCAGGTGCGGGAAGGTATGTGTGCTGGAAAACGTTTTCAGGTATGAAAGGGTCTGGCAGTTAGCTGGGGGAATCCTAATTTCGTGACCATAAGGACAAGAAACTTGCTTAAAAAGAGAGAGAAGTTAAATTCTCATGTTTCTAAATTCTACAGCCAAATTTAGGGTGCCGCCTTTGAGCATTCCTGTTTGAAATCAGAGGCTTACAGACTTCCAGTAGAGTGGAAGGAGTGGTGGAGGCAGTCCTCCTTGCACAAGTGGTACAGTCCTCTCTGCACCAGCTCAAGGGAGCAGGGGATGGGGCTGGGGCTCTGATTCTCTGCTCCGAGATCAGAGAGCTGTCCAGGGCCTGTGAGCTGCGTATCAGAAAAGCCCATGCCTTCCTAGGCAATGTCAGACAAATGCAGGTGTTTGGTCTAGTGGCTGGAGCGCTGATTTGAGCTCTGAGCCCCTCTCAGCCAGGAAATTCACTGGGTGGTTTTGGGCCAGTCAGTGAATCTCAGCCCGACCTACCTCACAGGGTTGTTGTGTGGATCAGGTGGAGAGGAGCAAAACTCCAGATGCTGCCGTTGGTTCTACTTTTTCAGAAGAAAGAGGGATGGGAATGTCATGTAATCATAATATTAAAGTGTTCTCCCCTTGATGTCATTTACCGACCGGCCCCTCTGCACAAATTAAACTTACACAAACTTCCATCCAAACTCTCTCGGGGAGGATAAAGCAGCTTTTGTGCAAGCTCTGCCATTCGCTTAGTGCTTGGAATTCTCCGGGGGCCTGTTTTTGTTTTGCTGCATGTTATTTGTTTCTATCTTTTGGGAGCTTACAAGATACGAAAATATTATTCCAACCGTCAGAATTTTTAGAGAGCACTTCTGCAGTAGAGCTGGGAGAGTACAACGAGACGAGATCCTTTTCACGTCTCTTCCTCCCCCGACTTCTTGCTGAAATGGCCTTTGGATGGGGTGAAATTCAGGAGAAGTGATGCCCTTGTATTGTTTAGTTTTTAATTAATTGCAACCAAGTCCTATTAAATGAAAACAAAACCAAGCAAAAATATATTATAAACTCATAAAAATAAAGCATCATAGTTTGCTAGCACAGGGCTTGGATCTTCTCCTCCCTTTTGACAGCGGAAAGACTAATATTCCAACATTTGGCCTTTTGTCCTTCCACTGTCAATAATGCAATGGGCCAAGAACCTAATGATGCTTTCAGTTTCTGACCAGGTGATCTTTATTTTATTTCTGCATTATCACTTTGTATGCCCTATAGCCGAAGATCTGAGGACAATTTACAACAGCTCATTAAATATAATACAAGATATGGATTTTCTTTATTTAGTATATTTATATCCTGCCTTTTTGCCTTTTGAGGCTTACGTAATTTTTCTCCCCCTCTTAGTCGTATCCTCACAACAACACCCCTGCAAGGTGGGCAGGGCTGAAAGTGAGGCCTGCCTTGGTGTCAACCTTGCCATCTTTTCTGTGCTGGGTTAAGATGGTCTTTTTTGCTAAACTTTGGGGGTGTAAATTATTTGTGCAAGGCTGAGAGACGGCGTTCTGCACTGTTCCCTAGTCCCACCAGTTTGCCTTGAGCGCTAAGGCTTTGCCTTTCCTCTTGCTTCCTTTCCCTGATTTGTACCTTGGATCTTGAACCCTGCTTGCCTTTGTTTTTCTCCATTTCTTTTTATTTATTCAAAGTATTTTATTGCACTCCACATTCAAGAAAGCTTCCAGAACAGCTATGTATAAGATCAATAAAAGATAGTCCCTGCCTGCAGACTTGCATTCTAAAAGTACACAGCACAAAAGGAAAACAGGATGAGGAGGGCAGAAGAAAATAAGTCCTCCAGCAGGGCTGGAAGAAGAATTCAACTTCCCACTCTCAACCTTTGTATAGTCTGTAGAAGTGCTGTAACTTTCCGTTGATTTGAATTGCCTTGATTCATTGATTTAAGAGAACTTTGAATCTACTAAAAAGGTGTTCCTGAGCAGATGATATACTTTTTTAAAAAATCACTTACTTTTAATGTAATTACTCACAAAAACAGCTGGTGGCTGATTCCAGTTTCAGCCTCTGCCATCCTCAGCTCTCTTGCATGTGCCCCAACCTGGCAGCCACCAGCTGTGCCTGCCAGGGAATACCACATCTGGAAGGTGCTGGGTTAGGAACAGCCATTTTGTAGGATACACAGAAAGGTGGTCTTTGGTGAAAGAAAGGTGCTTTGTTCTTGGACCTGGGAAATACTGTATTACCGCACACCCTTCCGGGGCTGAATCAGAGATCTGGTAGGTTCCTTTCGCCCCCCTCTGTGTGTTTGCATGTAGGGCTGCCGAAATGTAGAGAAATGTAGGCGTCTTTTGTGCTAAGGTATCCTAAATTTCCTGTTACTTTTCTAGGTCGAAAATGGCGCAGAGTATATCTTGGAAACCATCGACTCGTTGCAAAAACACTCTTGGGTGGCCGATATCCAAGACTGCATAGATCCTGGGTAAGATGGAATGACCCCCAAGGTCCGGCATGCAGATTGGGGGTTCTCTCTGCCCCCCAGGAAACCTCAGTGCATAAAAGCGGGTATCTGAGACACTGGACTGCCAACCAACCAGGGATATTCTGGGGTTTGGCACCAGGGTGCCTTAGGTCAGTCTCCTCCACCACTCCAACATGGTGCCCTGCAGGAGCTTGGGAGTACAACGCCCAGCATTCCTGAGCCTTGTCCAAGTTTATTTATTTATTTAAAGTTTTTATATGCCGTCCTCTTGCTACATAGCCTCCGGACGGCTCACAGAAATAAATAAATAAGACCATTACAATTAAAACCTGGAAACTCACTGGCTGCACAATTAAAATATATAAATATTAAACATTATTAAAATACTGTTTGAATAAAAAGTCTTGGCCTGGCGCCGAAAAACAAATAATGACGGCGCCAGGCAGACCTCTCTGGGGAGCTCATTCCACAGATGGGGCGCCACCGCAGAGAAGGCCCTCCTCCGGGTACGTTGCTTCCTGATATCTCTTACAGAGGGCTCCCGGAGGAGGGCCTCTGCTGCTGATCTCAAGGGGCAGGAGGGCAAATATGTCAGGCACTGATGGGAACTGAAGTCCAAAATACTGCGTGCTGCCAAAGAGACCTTCCTGAGAACAAAGACGGGTGTTAAGAGGTCTTGTTCTTGGTGCCATGTTGGGAGATCCGGCAAGTGGACATGGGAAACGCCCCCCCCCCCCCCCCCCCAGCACCACCACAGAGGGGCCGGGCTGCTCTCCCAGTTCCTTCTGTCTGTGTGTCCCTTTTGCCACAGTCAAAGAACTTTCCCTCATTTCTTCCTATTTAGCATACAGCTTCTGTTGCTGCTGGGTTTGAAGATGCCGCATCCGTACCTACATTTTAAACAAGCCAGTGTTGACCGAGTTTGCACATAATGAGTAACAATTATTAATCTAAAAGGGGAAGGTCTTGATGCTCTCCATGTTGCCATGCCAGTGGGGATGGGAGAACGTTGCTGAAATTCAGAGATGTAAGAGGGCCTGGCTTTCTGATCAATCCCTGTGGATGCTCAAGAGTCTGTAAAATTAAGAATAATCGGCTATCAGACAAAGCTTTTGCTTTTCCACGGGTTACCCTTTTCTCTGAGGGCTGGCAGTTCTTGGCGTCTCTCCTTTGGCAATTAACCAGCCGTGCCTGATTCAGAGGCATCTCTCCAGCAGCGGCCGATACGCAGGAGGTAATGAATCAACGTGTTGAACTGTGAATCAGAGCATTGATTCGTGCAGACGGTTTTCTCAGGACGGTTTTCTGCCCAGTTTTCATCCATCCTGGAAAAAAAATGCTTGTTTGATGATTTCATTCTGAGAAAGAAGAAAGGACACGATTTCCAACTTTTTAACAACTGCCCATCCATTTTTTAGCCTTTCCCCTTGTCCCTGTTGCACGTTAGGATTAATGCTGCTTTTCTGTTATATGCTTCAGGCAGCGTCCAGTTCTTTGGGAGCCATGGATCTGCGAATCTTCAGATTCCTAGCTCTGAGGCCAGAAAAGGGTTTTGACCTCAGAGCTTGGGATCCACACTCAGATCCCTCCCTGCCCACTTGTGGTAGGTTCAGAAAGAACCACGATATTTCTCCAAGCTGTAAGCTGGAGCTCAGAGAAGGGGTCCGGGGGGAGCTCTGGGGGGCAGGGAGGAAAGGAGACCAAGGGCTTCTGAGAGCGTTCCAGTCTCCTTCCTTTCCCATCCGGACTCTGGGCCAGACAGCCAAAATTAGCCCATTTGCAGCTTTACAGGCACCCTGAGGGGCTCACACCCTGAAAGGAATTCCCCACCGCAGGCTCAGCCATCCAAGGACATGGGCTGAGCTCCAAGCTAGAAGGCTTTGGAAGGATATCAGACAAATCCAGATGGAGAAGTCTAGCCAGGGCTATGAGCCATGAAGCAAACTGAACCCCCATGTTTGAACACCCCAGTGAGTGTGGGAAGTAGAATATCCGGGGACTCCTACTTCCAGGAAACCGGGAGGGCATCCGCTTGTGGGGACCTTCTGCCGTCTGATCTCACAGGACTCTCCAGATTAAGCCAGAATGAAGCCGCTGTTTTCAGGGGTCTCCCGCCTCAAGCGCATCTGTTGTTGGGGGGCCAGCGAGGGGGCTGCCTGCCCGCACTGGCTGGTTGTGCGGAACAAGGCATGGGTCCAGGTGCGGCTGGTCCTGCGAGGCACACACTGCATTCTTGTTTAGTGGCCGGCGCTTCTCGCATCGATGAAGGGCGGCTCCACCCTTTCCTCTCGCACACGGACATGGCCTGTCGGGCGTGGGTCCTCGAACGACGGCCCGCGGGACGGATGGGCCCTCACCGCTGCCGTCGCCTGCCTCCCGCGCACGTGCGCTCTGAGATGGGCTTGGGCTCGCCAGGACCACAGGCTGGCCCCTGTCCAAAAGGCTTGGGGGCCCCCGCTGTAGGGGGTCGGCCAGGGAAGCTCCTGGGGCTGACAGGCTGCTCTTTTCCCCACTCCAGGGACAGCGGTGATGATATTGAGCTAACCTCCTGCGGCCAAAGGGTCTGCCTGCCAAGCAGAGTTTCGTCCTGTAGCTGCGAGTTCCTGGCTGATGGTAAGGAGGGTTCTTATTTCAGATCTGACGCATAAGAAATTAGATCCGCTTTCCCGTATGCTCAGATCGCAGATAGCCATGCATGAGCAAGAGGGCATGGCTTGGTTTAATCTCTGCAGCTGGAGACCGGGCACCCCCCTTTTTAGCAGAACTTATGGCAATTTGATAAGATTCTGCTGCTGCCCGAAATGTGTTCTTCCATTGTGCTCTCATTTCAGGTCAAAGAAATATATCAGGGTTTTGCAGGGTTTCAGACACAGGCAAAACAGTAAAAGAGACAAGAATGAGACTGTGCAGGGAAAGAAATGAGACTCTTGGAGCATTTGGGCGCTTTTCTTTAATGGTGCGATTCTCTTCCAGATGTGTCCCGGTTTCAGGACAGATGTGCTGACTCTTCTGCTCCAGACACCACCCCAAATCCAGTCACTGTTGTCACAGCTCCACAGGGCAGGATCAGGGACTCCGCCGGAGAGCACAGAGCTCATGTGCCACTGGAGAACTTTCTGCGGACGTTGGAGTCCTCCGCGACTGGGAGCCACACCTCAGGTGCCGTAGTCCCTTGCAGAAATGTCTCTTGCCTTCCTGAAGATTTGGAGGCAGGAATTTTGCTCTCAGTTCAGGGGATGTTCCTGCCCGTTGCCCCACTTTGCAGCTTTAAACGGTGGGAAAGACAATCTTCCCTACCCTTCCAGCCACTGAAGGCCGAAAGCACTGGCTCCATTATGAGTGCCTTGTACCTCTGGACCGTGTTGAAGCCCTGGCGTCAACAGCAGTCAGTTCAGCTCGAGGATCTTGCAGGTCCTCCCATTTTCCACGGCAATCTCAGGGTACTTCCCACTGTTTCGGGCCAATAGGCCTGCGGAGCGTATGTTGAAGTAGGAAGCCGGTTTGCCTGGTGAGGAGGCAAAGCGCAACTCAGCAAAGGGGATTCTTCTTCTGAAGTAGGGGAAAGCCAGAGCACCTGTGAAGTGAGGTCCGGAGAGACAAATAATCCCAATATTAGGCAGCCCGTGTCCCTAATTCATATTCCAGACTGAAATGCACAGATTCAGACCTATTTTGTTAAGTGCACTTCTGAAAGACGGTGCGCTGCATGAATTTATTTCCTTCTAAAAATGGTGTCCCGTGAATTTATTTACACTGCTTCTCTGCTGCTTGGGCATCCCAGGATCTCTAGGCTGTTTGTCTAAAAGACACATAGAATATAATATAGAAGCCAATACAAAGGCAGCAGAAAACAATAGATAACTCAAATCCTGCACAGCATAAGGAGTATCTTGACTGATTACGAGTCAGAGATGCTTGCAGCTCGCCCGTTTCCACCTCTTGGACCACACGTGGGAAAGTGTTCCAGAGGGTGGGGGCCACGACCAAGAAGGCCTGCTTAGTTCTTGTTCGCTGGTGGATGTGGAGCAACGAAAGGGCTAAATGCACGGATTAGAATTAGACAGACGCACTTCCTTTGCTGAGGGGTCAGTATGGGTGCAGTTCCTGCATGGAAATACAGGAAAACTCCAGTCCTGTACCCGCTTCCCTGGAAGTACAGCCTGCGGAACCCAGTGGTAAATACTTCTGGGTGAACACAGGCATTTAATCATAATAATAATGAGAGGCGGTGTGTGTGTGGAAGGAGGGTTGCTAAGATTCCTAGCCCTTTCCTTAGCCAGGTTTTCTTGCAATAGTTCTGAATTTAGGGCAAATGTTTACCGCTCATTTCTTTCCAACTTGGACAGGGGAGGAAAGTGAGATGGAAGCGGAGACCAACCTCCTGGACTTCCCTTGGTTCCACGGGACTCTGTCCCGGGTCAAAGCTGCTCAGCTGGTGTTGCATGGAGGAGCCAGGAACCACGGACTGTTCGTCATCCGTCAGAGCGAGACGCGGCCCGGGGAGTATGTCCTGACCTTCAACTTCCAGGGGAAAGCCAAGGTGCGTGCCCATTTCCTAGGCATTTGCATGGGGCAAGGAAAAGCAGGAAAACGGGGGTGGGGGACCACCATGCCACCAAAGAGCATGTGGCCCCAGGAAACGGTGTTGTTTAGGGATGGGTTCCCGCCCCGCTGCCTTTCCCAGCTCTTTTTCAGCTTTCCTTTTAAAGCCAATGCTGCAAATGTTTTGTCAGCTTCAATAGGGATGGGAAACACTCCCCTGCTGAAAATCCTCTGGAGGTTGGGGGGCAGCCGCCCCCCCTTGCCAAGGCTCCTGTTGGCCTAAAGGACTTTTTTGTGGTGGGGGAGCTTTGTCCTCCCCTGCTGACTTTGGTGAAGAGGGCTTTTTGCCTCTGTGCCTCTTCTCCCGCAGAGGGGGCAAATTTGCCCTTATGGGCAGAGTGTGGGAGACCCTCTTCTAGTCTAAAGCTCTCACAGCTAGTAACTCAGCCTTCAAAGAGGTCTGATCCGTTTAGAATAGGGGAAAACCCACAAAACCTCAGAAACTATCAAACGATGGCTGGCTTTATTTATTAATTAAATGTATATCCCCCTCCCTTTCCCTTTTATTTTATTTTTTTTCTTTTTAAAGAGCTCAGAGTGACTTACATCATTCTCCCCCTCCTAGCATCAGGCTTATCCTCAGAGCGACAACCCTGTGAGGTCGGCTGGGCTGAGAGTCTGTGCCTGGCCCTAAGTCATGGAGTTGGCTGCGTGGCTGAGCGGGGACTCGAACCTGGGTCCCCTGAGTCCCAGCCCCACGCTCTTAGCCACGGCGCCACGCTGGCAGCAGGGGGTCACCTGGAGAGGCTGAGGAAATAAATGCAGGGAAGCTGGACGGTTCTGCTGCTTGTGCTCCCCTGACCCTCCAGCCTCCCCGAGCACTTCAGAATCCTGGGATTTCTGGACTTCCCTGGTGTGCCATTCGGTCTCTGCTGGACCTTTTACCGTTTCCTCACATCTCTAGGTTGGGTTGCACTGCCCACGGAAGGGTCTTGGTTGCCTAGCAAAAGATTGGTGCGTCCCACTCTGGACAAAAGGGGGCTTCGGGTGGCCCTTCTCGTATGTTATCCATCCAGACTCACTTCTGGAGTATTCTGCAAAAAAGCGCCCTTTCTCACCTGCCGCCCCGTGTTTATTTCTGCTTTCTGCAGCACCTGCGGCTCTCCCTGAATGAGAATGGCCAGTGCCACGTACAGCATCTCTGGTTCCAGACGATCTTTGACATGCTGCGGCATTTCCACATGCACCCCATCCCCCTGGAGTCGGGGGGCTCTGCCGACATCACGCTCCGCAGCTACGTGGTGGCACAGCGGCCGTTGCCCGGTAGGTTGCGTTTCCATTTTTGCTGCTTGCTGGTGGTGATGGTCCCTCTGGCTCAAGGGAGGACAGCTACGTCAAGTGTAGCTGATGCATTGCATAGGTTGCTAAATGCAATCCATCTTGCTGTGAAGCTAATTTGAGTGAGAGATTGTTAGAAGGGATCTCTCCATCCATTGACTCAGCCATTTCTTAGCTCGGATCTAAACTAAAAATCCATTTTTTAAATTGCTTTTGTGCTGCGATCAGTTTATCTTCCAGGGCCCCTCCAGTCAAAAGAGAGTCTTCCAAACTAGTTGGTCCCTGAAGTAGATGGACAAAGAGTGAAAGAGCTGGAGGCAGAAGATGGGATGGAAGTCATCCTTGAGTGGCCAGAATGTCATTGGCCTGCAAAGGGATTGTCTGGCTACCATGCCAAGCTTCCGGGAGTAGCCTTGGCTACTTCCATGAGCTCCACCGATTCTGCAAGCCAGGGGGGTGGGCAACTTTTTTTAAAGATAAATTTGGCCTGGCAAGGACACCAGGATCAATCTTCGCTGCAAGGGCCACCTGCTCCTGCTATATCCCCTGGTTCCAGCTCTTAGTGTACCTTACACAGGTTTCATCTTACCTGTGACTTGAATGTACAACCCACGCAGGCAAGAAAGTGTGCTTGGATTTGGCATCTTACTTGGCCTGCTTGGTGCCCTTCCTTCATAGCATCCGCTCTCCAGACTAAACATGGCTTGAGACAAGCCACCGACACTATCGATGTTTTCCAAACGGCACCAGTCGCTTTGGCTGAATTGAACTGACTGTCCCTCTGATTTCCACTTTATTGCCTTCAGTGATTGTTGTGTTCATCGGTTTTAGGGCTTTGTTTTGCTTCCTTTATGGGCCTGAATGTTGCACAAGAGCTGCCTTTTCTGGGGAAAAGCGGATATGAAATAAACAGCAACATCCCCTTTTGCTTACTGAGAAAGAAGCTCTGCTGAGCTGGGCCGGGCTGAGTATCACTAGCTTTATTGTTTACCGAGCTCCCTTTGTTTGCTCGCCGCTTTGCAGAGTGGCGCCAGCAAAGAGAAAGAATGTAGTCCTTACTGAGCTTCTGTTAGGTTTGTCTGCTAGCCCATTAATCAACCCGTTCCTTAAGGAGACCCACAGAAAATACCCATGCTCTTAAAGCAAGAAAAACCACACAAGTAAAAACAGCAAAATAGCATGCAGGAGCCAAATCTCAGGAAGGTATCTGACGGCTAAGATGGCTGCAGAATGCGAAGGCCGTCAGATCGGCTAGTTTCAAGCCTGCTCCTTTCCTGTTTCTACAACTGAGGAGCAGCTACTCCGGATCCAGAAGGATTTGGACAGACTGTGGAAGTGGGCAGGAGACAACAGGATGGTGTTCAGTGTGGATAAGTGCAAGGTCTTGCACTTGGGGCAGAGGAATGGGTGTCACAAATACAGGTTAGGGGACAAGTGGCTGGAGAGCAGCACTTGTGAAAGGGACCCCGGGGTGCTGGTTGACTGCAGGCTAAACATGAGTCAGCAGTGTGATGCGGTGGCCAAGAGGGCGAACGCCACCCTTGGTTGCATAGCCAGAAGCGTGGCTTTGAGATCGAGAGACGTATTACTACCACTCTACACGACTCTGATGCACCCGCAGTTGGAGTATTGTGCTCAGTTTTGGGCCCCCCATTACAGAAAGGATATAGCCGGGTTAGAGTCAGTGCAGCGTAGGGCCACAAGGTTGCTGGCCAGTTTGCAGGGGATGGGGTATGAGGCGAGACTGAGGGAACTGGGTCTTTTCAGCCTGGAGAAGAGGAGACTCAGACGGGACCTGTTAGTGACATACAGGTACATGAGGGGGTGCCATGCAGGGGTGGGTCATGACCTTTTTTCCCCTGCGGTGGAGGGCAGGACGTGTTCCAATGGAGCCAAGCTCAGGGAACCAAGATTTAGGGTGGATGCCAGGAACTACTTCCTGATGGTTAGGACCCCGAGTGGAATGGGCTTCCATGGGAGGTGGTTGAGGCCCCATCGGTGAGGGTGTTCAAGGACAGATCGGACATGCACATGGGAGGCATGTCATGAGTGGAGCCGGCTGGAGCCGGGGTCAGACTAGATGGCCTGGGAGGCCCCTTCTGACTCGCTCTGTGTCTGTGTCTCTGTTCCAGAGGTCAACCCATCCCCGGCGGTGGCCTCCCAACAACCCACATGCCGAAATGACCTCCAGTCTCAACACTACTTTTCCAGCTTTGTCCCGGTCACCTTCCAGCCTGCCTCGCCCTCTGAGGGCACGACCTCCTCCTCGTCTTCCTCAACCAGCCATTCACACTATCACCGGACGGAGGGGACCCTCAGTGCCCAGAGCCGAAGCACCAGCACCGAGCGCCTCTTCGATTCCTCCGCTGTCGGGGCGGAGGATTACCACGACAGCGAGGGCTCGCGCAACAGAACCAGAGCGGTGGAAAATCAGTATTCTTTCTACTGACCACACTGGGGGAATGGTTCTCGGTGGTCCGGCATGTCTCTCCCTTTGGAGAAGCGGCTTGTGGGTGTGGAGGGTGGCGAGCCCGTCGAGCTCCCCCCTCCTCGTTGGCTGCTTCCGCACTTGGTGTTCTGTGGCCCCTTGGACGTTGGTGTAGCACCCTGATCTCCAGCCGGCCGTGAGTTGCTCGCCCTCTTTTCCTAGCACAGTGTAGACCGATGGTGGCTCTTCCTTTTCCTGACATCTGGTCTGGGTGGGGAACGCAATGGCTGCACACGCCTGGCTCGCGGGGAGCCGGATTGTGGGGGTGCCTTCCTCCTGAGCCTCTTTGCTTGTCATTTTTCAACATCAGAATGGCCTCGTTCAGCTGGAAGCAGGGAACGGCGATGGAAGGAAAGTGCATTGGGCTGGAATCTCTGCTCGCTGCTAGAACTGAACATGCTTCTGGGTCACCAGGGTGCCGTTTTGTGTGTTGATGGCCAAAGCTGGGGGTGCTAGCAAAGGACCGCTTCCTTGCATTGGTCCCTCACCCGTCCACACTCAAACCTTTCGACCACAGTGCATTGAATCTGAAATACAGCTGTGTAGAATAAAAAAGCACATGGGAAGTTTTCTGACTTGTCGTCAGAGCAGAGGCCCAGTAATAGGAAAGCTAACAGTTCTCCGAGGGCAGGCAGCAGCTGCTGCCTTTCACGGCCCAGATGAGCCAAGCCCACATCGCCGGGAGCTGTACATGCACCACACACACAACCAGCCTCCAAAAACACAACCCAGCGCTGTCTCTGCGTTCCTTGTAACTCTTCCTCCGGCAAAATGAGTGGCGATGGAAGGAGAATCCAAGCTCTCCAGATGCTTCAGATTGACTTTGGGACGGAGAGGGGATCTCATGTCCTTGGGCAGCACCGCAAAGCCGCATGGGACTGAAAGTAGGTGCACAGGGTTCAGCTGACTGATGGCAGCGGGCCAGTTTCTATATGACGTGTTGCCAGTCACCACCATGTTGAGATGGGACAGCTTCTCACCTGTGAGATGCACCGTCTCAGGAGTTAATCACCTGTGGTCTGAAAGAATTTATTTTCTTCCTCATTCCAGCAGCCTTTTGCTGTTGCATGTAATTTCTCCAGTACTAGGTACTTAGAAGGGTGTTTTTCAGTGTTGTATGATTACCTCTTTCTATAACTGGTCATTTCCTTCAAAGAAGAATGCCATGCATCCTTTGGCTGCAGTGCAGAATTCCATTCCATTGTGGAACATAGGTTCTAGCGAGTTGAACAGTGGTGCACATGCATGGGAATCTGGCGAGGTGTGAGCTGCAGAATATTCCTCCCTCCTATCTTCAAAGAATCTTTGAGGTTCTTGATAATAAGGGCGTGAAACCTTCCTGTAGCAAAAAGACGGAGAGAAGCAGCCTGCACTTAATAAACCTGCAACTGTCTAGCTTGCTGATATGTCCTGATTGATTTACATAGAAATCGTTACAGAGCTCTGTGTTCAAACAGCCATTTACTATCAAGGTCTCTCCGGTGCCAGAAACTAAATTTGGGAGAGGTGGGGGAAATGGAGAAATTACATCTTATTTTGCAAAACACTCTGCCGCCAGCTCTCTCAAAATCCATATTTAACCTACAAATCTTAGGCCAGAGGAGCAGAACGCTCACCCCAAACATCCGTTGATGCCTTTATACATTCTGTGTAAACCCAGAATGGGTGTGAATCTCTTGTCCTGTGTGGGAGGTCAGAGACGAAATGGCAGGGAGTCAACATTTGCTACTGTAGCCCCAGTATGTAATACTGAAACTGCAGCGAAACCACAAAACTATATTAAATTCAGAACACGACCGGTGCCATCCTGCGCATGTTTACTTGGAAGTAATTTCCACTACGCTTAGTGGCCTTGATTTGCATGGAAGCCTGCGTCTCTGTTACTTGTTCACAAGATACCTGGGGATTCAAGAGATGCGATTTTAAGATGAGCCGCTTGCTTAGCCGTTCATTCTGGCAGTCTTAACAGCAATGCTTCCTCCAGTGAGGAACAATGCTCAGGCGAACCGGCCATTGGCTAAAATGCCACTACAGTGGCAGACCCAGAACTGGTAGAAGCTGCCCATAGCTTCCAGTTTTAGGCTCAGACTAGGGGTGCCCACTTCTGGAGACACAAGGTATCTTGCCCTAACTTAGCTTGTTGATCAGTTTGACAATGTACTCTTGAAGCATGTAAGAGAGATAGTCAATGGATACTTTCAGACCATGGGTTGGATCTAGTCTACTCCGTATTTAGAGGAGAACCAATGAGGCCTACGGCACTTCGGTTAGTCTGGACTGCGTAAGTGCGCTGGAGCCAGTCTTAATATGGTGCAGTCTTAATAGGGTGCCCCTGTGAAATTTATTGCGAAGGGAAAATAAGGTCCCCGTGACTCTCTGAGAGTGTTCACACAAGCTAGAATTACTGGCTTGCCCTGCTTGACTGTGAACAAGATGTTGCACAAAACGTGTTGGCTTTTGCTTCGTTCTTCTTCCCGTTTGTCAAGGAAAAAACAAACTCAATACTGAAAGCCTTGGATGGCATTTATACATCGAGTTTGTTACTGGCTCGTGAATCCAGACTTCTTTGAGGCAACCAGGATAAGCTTTTCTCAAACATGGCCAATAATGAGAGTATTGCAACATAAGGAGGAAAGGCAAAGATATAATGCAATCAAACACAGTGATGAACTTAACACCAGAAAGGTTACCATGTTAAGGTAAACCACCTAAAACTTTCCTATTGAGGGTACAATGCTAATTTCAATACCGATGTAGCATGGAAAGAGCTTTCCAACGGTGGCAAAGATTATTGTTTGTGTGAAATTAGCTGAGAGCCCAGGTTTCAGCTTCGCTTGCCCCAGCTGGTCAATGTCCATTCCCGTCAGTATTTTACGAGCCGCAGCCTCAAACAGAGGATGCTCAAGCCAGAATGCAAAGCCATCTCGTATGGCTCCCAAAGTTTTCTTTTTCATTCTGGGGTGGAGATCTGAACTGAATCCATGCGATGTGTCTGTGGGATGGTTCTGGCCTTGGAAAAGATCAGAGGGAAACCTGGAAGGCTGTGGCCTCTGTCCCTTGCCAAATGGGAGCAGTGGGCTGGGTCACCTCTACCTTTTAAAGACTCCTGTGATTTGTGTCTTGGCACATTGTTGTTCTTTGAAGTGAATTTCTCTGACTTTCAGAGCAAAGGCTGGACTTGCAACCTCATTGTCCAGGGGTGTGAAGAACCTTAGCAATGTGGGCATCACCTTTGAATACTGTGAGCCTTTGAATACAGACCTTTTTTCCATTTTCCCCTGGAGAAGAAGGTGCCCAGAGATGCCCAGAGAGCCATGGTCATTTGCTTTGATGGAGACTCTTCTCTTCCTCCATGAGGAATTGTCAGGTGGACAGGAAGGATGTGGGATTCACTGCTATCTGTACTGATTTCTTCTGTGCCAATCGGAAGAGAGGAGGAAAGGGAACCCAGGAGGAGCTGCAAACAAGAATGTTTATTTGTAAATACGATTTTTTAAGAAATGTGAAAAAGTTTTCATGTGCTGTAGAATAAATTAATTTTATTTACAAAATGAACTTGTAAAAGAGCTGGAAAATTGTGTTCTGGCTTTCTTCTCTCTTTCTTTTTTGGGGGATGGAGTGGGCAATAAAGACGGCCTTGAACAAGCTAGTGTGTTGGAAATGCTAGAATAATTTCTTGGTGTTGCTGGGAAAATTAAGGCAGAATTTGCTGAGCTTACTTTGTAGCCAAGTCGCTGCTAGTGGCTTCCGTGGATTGAGCAGTTTTTCCCTCTCTTCCCCCCCAGAAAAGCTTGGAACTGTGTCCCATAATGGTGAGATGGTGAGCAAAGATGTTTCAGGTGATCTATGGTAGGTGTGATCTGTAGATCATTTTGCAAAATAGCATGCATTCTAATCTTCAGCTGTTGGAGACCTTAATTTTAAATTTCAATTGCTGAATCATGACTTCCAGCACTGGACAGAACCCTCCACTCTATCCGAGGGCAGCAGAGAGTAGCTGTGTGTCCTTTTCTACAGAGGACAGTCCTCGATTTGGAGACGTCCTCTGCTGTGGCCTTCGCCAGCCTGGAGGGTACCAAGCTTAGAGAGCCAAACCTCTGCCCTTAAGGGCTGTCCAGCTCAAGTCTGGGTTGAAGGTGGTGACAAGTTCCTTATCTCCATTTCAATTACAGTGTTTTCCTGCATTGGTCTCTTAGGCTGCTAAATTAGCACATGCAAATGGTTTGCAAATGGCTTCATGCAAAAAGAGAGGACACGTCTCACAAGTGGCCACCCTCAACCCACAAGGCAAGGGCCTTTGCTGCTGCTGGACTGGCTCTGGAAAGGTATCGGGAGGTATTCAGGGGTTCAGATGGCAGAAACTAATGCCAGATTATATGTATGTATATTGAAATGTAAATGCAGAAACACATGCCAGAAAATATTATTTTTTCCTTATTTGGTTAGCAGCACAGGCTGGAAAGGGATTTTGGAATCATAAACATCTTCTGTGTTTATAATTGGTCAGTTTCTCCTACAGGAATCCCAGAATGATGTGGACTGACGTTAAATAGAATCCCTATAGCATTTAAAAGCATTGAAAAGATGTTTGGTTGTTGCCACAAAATGTTTGAAAACCATCCAGAGCAAAATGCATACAGCTAATCCATGTTATTGGACAGATGTTCTACCTGGTATTTTGCAGTGTTTGGGGCCCAGTTACATGGATGAGTTATGAAAAATGTTTCTGCTTTAGGAGTTAGATCTATGTTCATGATCTTATGCTGCGACCCAACGTGGGGTTTTCTGCTCATGCAAATCATCCCTCCGCTCTGCATGTAACTTCTGTTTAGCACAACTTTCACCCTGAAGAAAATCCCTAAATGCTTGCTGCCCATCCTGTGACTGCCCATTAATAACTATTAATATTCTAGTAACAATTATCCTGTCAATATTTTCATACCGCTTTACTCTCATGGACCGACGTGGATGTGAACATTTCATAAATAGGCCAATCTGCTTAAAAGTCTTCTTTTTCTGGTCCTTTTGACTGCAAAACCTTTCGTTAATGGCAAGATGACCATCTCGTGAAAGCTTTGGATTGGAGTGGCAAGCGTGGTGCATTTGGCAGTTTTTCTTCAATTGCTGAGCTACTTCCTTTATCGAAAGTATTATCACTGAACTTGTGTTTATTGATCTGATTCATTTCTATACTGCCAAATAGCCAAAGCTTTTTGTACCATTCACAGACAACCATGACATTGTGTTCAGCTACTTAACAAAGAAGGATGCAGACTAGCTGGGAAAAGTTCAGCGGAGGACAACAAAGGTGGACCAGGGGACTGGAAACTAAGCTCTGTGAGAAGAGTCTGGAAGAACTGGGCATGTTTAGCCTGAGGGGGGAGAGGGTAGCGGTTCTCAAATACTTGGAAGCCTGTCACAAAGAGGAACGAAGGCCAGGATCTCTTCTCCATCATTCCTGAATGCAGGACATGGAATAAAGGGCTTAAACTGCAGGAAGCCAAACTCTGACTGAACAAGAAGAAAAACTTCCCGACTGTTAGGGTGAGTCATGGCACCCACGACCTAGGGAGGTGGCTGGCTCTCCCACCCTGGAGGCATTCAAGGGGTGGCTGGACAGCTCTCTCTCCAGGCTGCTTTAATCCTTCCAGCTCCACTATTCCAGGATTCTGTTTCGTAGCTTGCCATAGTCTGACTGCAGAAAGTCCTTGTCTTAAAACAAAAACAGAACAAAAACCTGATGGACTGTTGGTGTCCTTCAGCTTCTTGTTTGTTCCCTCGATTTAATTTGCTCGTGTTTCTGACTGCCTGAACTGTGTTTATAGCTAGGTATGGCAGGAGGCTGGGTGTTTGTGAGCAAGGTGCGTTCTCAGTCTGCAAATTCCTGCAGTCCTCTGCCAGAAAGGATACTGCAGGAGCTGCTTTGCTTAGCTGGCACTTTCAAACCATGGGGCAGAGTATGACTGACTTGGGCGCAACCATGCGCTGCCAATGGGCTCAATTTTAGCTAGGTAGCCCCATGCTGGGCTTAACAGTGGTTGTGTAACCCATAATTATTATTATTATTATTATTATTATAACATTTCTATGCCGCCCCTTGCCGAAACCTCGGGGCGGCTTACAACATGATAAAATACATTGAAATACAATAGTACATAATAAATTACCATTAAATATAACAATACAAAAAATACATTGATTTACAAATACAAAATTAAAATTATCAGTATAAAATAAAAATATAGGAGGAGAAAGAGAAGGAAGAAGAAGTTGCCCAGGCCAGATCATATGTTTTAACAATTGAAATGATGTTTAAATAAAAAGGTCTTTACCTGGCGCCGAAAAACCAGTAACGACGGTGCCAGGCGGACCTCTTTGGGGAGTGAATTCCATAGGTTGGGCGCCACCGCAGAGAAAGCCCTCCTCCGGGTACTTACTCTCCTAATTTCTTTCATGGAGGGTTCCCGGAGAAGGGACTCTCCCGCAGATCTCAAAGGGCGGTCGGGCATATACGGACGTAAGCGCTCGTTCAGGTAGCCAGGACCCAAGCCGTTTAGGGCTTTGTAGGTCATAATCAACACCTTGAATTGGGCCCGGGCTTCAATGGGAAGCCAGTGAAGCTGATGGAGGACTGGAGTCATGTGAGCATAACGCCCCGTCCCCGTCAGCAACCTGGCAGCTCTATTTTGCACCAATTGAAGTGTTCGGACTGTCTTCAGGGGAAGCCCCACGTAAAGCGCATTACAGAAGTCTAGGCGGGAAGTCACCAGCGCATGTGTCACCGTCGCCAGGCAGTCGTATTCCAGGTAGGGGCGCAGCTGATTAATCAGCCGAAGCTGAAGGAAGGCGTTCCTCGCTACCGCTGTCACCTGAGCTTCCAAAGAAAGCTCCGGGTCGAGGAGTACACCTAAGCTGCGGACCTTATCCCTAAGAGGGAGTGTTGCACCATTCAGGACCAGGTCAAATCCACCCTCTCCGAAACCCGATCCGCCAACCAACAGGACCTCCGTCTTGTCTGGGTTGAGTTTCAGTTTATTGGCCCTCATCCATTCCCTTACCTTGGCCAAGCACCGGTTCAGCACAGCCACTGCCTCACCTGGATTAGTGGAGAATGAGAGGTAAAGCTGGGTATCATCAGCGTATTGATGATTCCGCAGCCCACACCTCCTGATGACCTCTCCCAGCGGTTTCATATAGATGTTAAATAGCAGAGGGGATAGAATGGAGCCCTGTGGTACCCCATGGCATAGCTGCCATGACGTAGAGACATGGTCCCCCAGCACTACCTTCTGGAATCGACCGTCGAGATAGGAGCGGAACCACTGCAAAGCAGTGCCTCCAACCCCCAATCCCGCAAGTCTATCCAGAAGGATACCATGGTCGATGGTATCGAAAGCCGCCGAGAGGTCCAGAAGAACCAACAGGGATGTACTCCCCCTGTCCTTCTCCCTGCACAGGTCGTCGTACAGGGCGACCAAGGCAGATTCAGTACTGTACCCGGGTCTGAAGCCGGACTGAAAAGGATCCAGATAATCAGTTTCCTCCAAGAGTGCTTGGAGTTGTCCCGCCACCACTCGCTCCAGCACCTTGCCCAGAAACGGGATGTTGGCCACAGGTCTATAGTTAGTGGCCATCTCTGGATCCAGTGACGCTTTCTTCAGGACCGGTCGTATTACCGCCTCCTTTAAAGGGGCAGGCACTCGACCCTCCCTCAGAGAAGCGATGCACTGAAAGCAATTTTAATATGCCACCCCAGCTCAGGTTGCGGTGTCACGTGAATGAGGCTCCGGAGGGCCCTTTGAGTAGGACATACAACCTTTGCAACCACAATATGGAGAATGGACACACCATGGCTCATCATGGGTTAAACGACTTCTGCTGAGTCCAGCGTGTTGTGCAAACTAGGTCTCTGTCTTCCAATCATGTACACAACTTCTATGTATGCTACTTTTAAACGATGTAGTAAATTATGTACTACTTTTTTATCATTTCCTTGTTTTGTCAGGAAAAGTCAAGGAAATCAGGAAAGAAATTATCACATACTTACTGGTGCAGCTTTCTGGGTACATTCACCAGACCGCATATTAATTGGGAACTGGGTTTGTTAATATCCTTGGAAATTATTAGAAAAATTCACCCTTGTGGCCAACCTAACTGCATATAAAATTGTGCTCAGTTTTCTTTTCCTTGTTTTCCACAGCAGGTTCTTATAGCTAGATTCCAATTTCCCAGTGGAAACCAATTAGCTAGACTATACAAGAACGTGACCACACAGCATTAAAGATTACAGTAATTTCCCATTGACTTTAGCAGGAAAAATTGCCTAAATGCAATAAAGAAAGAGGGAGAGGTATAGTGAACGGCAAGTGCTTGCTGAAGGCACTGCATTCCTGCTGCATCCCATAAAAACATCCTCACTTTTTGTACTGCTAGTATAGGAACTTAATGGGAATTGCACTTTCAAGACCTAAAGGGTGCGACCCTATGAATGTTTCAAGAGAGAAGAGTCCTGTGGCTTGAAGGGATGCTTCAGTTAACCCTGCTGGGAATTGCCGGACACATTTTCCTTCTAAACAGCCATAGGATTATGTGCTACAAATCTACTGTCTTTGAAAAGGGAGTAATTTCTGTCCGGAAGGGACAGTCCAGTAATGTAGTTTGTTGAAACAAAGGACAGGCAAACATCCAACAAGGCTTAAGATGTTCTGAAATAAAGAGGCACTCCTTAGTAATGAAACATAAAGTAACATCCTGCTGATTCTAAGAAATCATCCTCTTCATTTAAAAAAGAGGGCTCGTGCCCTCTAATGGACAAACTAGGATTGTGCAAAGGATGCAATTTAGGAAGAGGTGCTGAAAGATACTGTGCAGCTTTTCCATTTCCTCCTCCTCAACAGATTTTTTGCAGTTAAAAAATTGAAGAAATGACCAAAAACAAAAAAACCCAGAGGAAGGTTACCAATGGAAAGCAATATTGTCCAGACCTGCACAATTTGCATGGGAAAACAAGAGCGACAACAAGGTGACACCTCACACCTTTGCCTAACTGCTGCTGCTGCTGAAATAAAGAAAGCTTGGCATAAGCAGGAACAGATTTTTCTGCAGAAGGGCAATGAGCCCCCTTCACTTCTGCAAATCAAAAAACGTTTCTGAGCCAGCGTTTCATTTCGTTTTAGAAAGCAATGCCAATTCCCTGGTTTAGAATACCTCAATGTTCCTCTTTTACATCACTCTTGCATCACAGTCTTTTGATCTTGGGGCTCAAATAAAGAACAGATAGCACAGGCAAGCGATCTGCTCACAACTGCTTATAAAACTGGAAAAATTCTTGGTAAATCTACATTAGAGAATGTGGAGGCAATTATATTTCACTTAAACATTTTGCATCACTTAGGCAGAAAATAAACAGCATCTCCTTTCCCTAGTATTTATAAAATGACAACAAACATTTCTAAAGGTTTCATTGCCAGAAGAGGTCCAGATGATGCAACTCTGAATCATGGAAGCAAAATAAATGAAGCAAGATAAGGGCAAATGTCTTTAATCGTATCATGTAGAGCATGAAGCACATTGCCCGGGTGGGGAGGGGTTGCGTACATAAGACACCCAACCCTGTTTTTAATTGTATCTGTTAAAGGATGATGCACAGTGCAAGAACATTTCCAGTTCAGTGCCGAAAAGGAGAGTTTTCCAAACCCAGAAGTTCTTGCAGAAACTCTAGTCTGCACTGGAGCTTGGTGACAGGAGGGTAACCAGGATCTGGAAACCAAGTTGTATGTGAAACAGTTGAAACAATGAGCTATGTTGGGTTCAAAGAAATGAAAATTAAGGGGAAACATGATAACAGTCTTTGCTTATCTGAAGGGCTGCTTGGTAGGAAAGCACCAGATTAGTTCTCGGAGGGGTCCAGAGGAAATAGCAGAGGAAATCAGTGGGAGGAAATTGCAAGGGGAGCAGACTTTAGCAAAACTTATTTTCCAATGGTAAGAAGTGCCAACAGTGGAACAAACAGTGGGTCCTGTTCTGCCCTATGCAAAGTCCAGGTGCATCCTGGAATAACCCCAGCATTTCCTTGCCATGGCCGGTAAAGAAGTGCACACTGTCTCCTTGGCCATCTCATCCAGTACCAGTATTTTCCTAAGCGGGAACTCCCGATATGTTTCTGGGGAAGCCACGATTCCCTGAAACAACTTGGGCATCACAGTGACCTAGAGAAAAGCAATCTTTTCTTTTTCACAGTGTCTCCATTGGCTCACATCTGCCCTGATCTTTGCCCTTTTCTTCTCCTTTCCTCCATCATTTCTTCCATTGTCTGAATGTCAATTATGATCCCTAGGCCCAATTTTGCCTTTGCTTAATTTAAATAGGATACTTCATACCCCAGTCATTCCTCACCTGATGCTCTGCACATGTGTTTGGACATAACTCCTATTCCCACACAGCAAACTACTAGCCCTGCTAGCTGGGATCCTGCGAGTTGTAGTCCAAACCTTCTCAAAAGCACCCAGTTGGGAAAAGCTGATGTAAGATTGTGATTTTGTAGTATTATTTAATTTCTATACCATCCAACAGCCGAAGCTCTCTGGATGGTTTACAACAAGTAGTCATAGCAAAATAGCAATCATCATCATCTATATCCCAGAACATATTCTTTACTTATATACAGGACTGTAAACCGTTTACAGATACATTTCTGCATCCAGCAAGTTGTAAGCCAAGCCGTGCCTCAGCCCAAAGCCATCAGTTATTACTCCTACGCAAACCTGCACATGCGTGCCAGGGGACTTCTGCCAAATTACTGAATTCGGATGGGGCAGTAAATGGACAATTAACAAACAGAGGAGACAGGAAGTTCCGTATTGTCTGGCCTGGCAGGGCAAGGCCACTGGAAGGCGGCCTTTGATAGACCACAGCGCTTGTGGGCATGTGTCAGGAAACCCAGCCAGGCCTGCAAGGGGTGTGTGGGGAGAACGTTCAGAAAAGGCACCCAAGAATCCATCACTGACATTTTGGGCTCTGAGTGCTTACCGCAATCCTGTGAGCAGAAGGATGCTATTATCCCCATACAGTCGCTGGTGAGGAGTAGCATTTTGAGATGCCCCCAGACTGTTTTTCCAGTTTGCCTGCAGTGAGTTCACACCTGCATGAACAAAGGCCAAGTTAGGGGATTGCTGGCTAGGGATGGAGCCCTGAATCTTTCATGTGGAGCCCCAATTTCCTGGGAGACTATCAGTCAGCACCCTGCAGTTCAAAGGCAGTTGCTGCGATAAAGGCCCTGTTGAATTTTGAGCTGGGCTTTGATCCACGTCCCCTTCACCTCCTGCTGCTTCATCTTGCATCTGTCTGGCTGATTTTGTTTTTCCTGGAATCCAGTGCCCTTCTCTCCTGCCCACACTGTCTTTTTTACAAATAGGGGTGCCCTTAAAGTATACGCAAATTAGCATATGCACATTTGTGCATGTTGTGAAAAGAGTTTGTGGGCCCGAGCCCCAGATCCTTGCAGTTCCTTGCACCACCCTGGTGTTACCAGGCTCAGTTCGCCAACAGCAAGAGCAAACCTGACTGGACCCCAGACGCTGAGCCAAAAGGAGCCCGAGACAAGCCTTAGAGCCAAAAACAGTTTTATTCTAGTGCACTTGAAAATAAACAGAGGTTGATTTAGACATTTAATTGACCAGAGCCATCTGAAGAAGCTGAACAGATACAGCTATATGTGGGGGCAGTAACATCTGGCCTGATGTGGGCAGTGCTTCACAACTGCGAGATATTGCATTTTTCAACCGCCCGAAGCAGCAATGCTGGCCGTGATCAGAGCAGGACAAATATTATGCCTTCCATGTGGTGCCCTATCATGGCTGTGTGAACTGCTCTAGAGCATGCAAGGAGTTGTGGAGCTTTTCCTGTCTAAACTAGCATAGAGTTGTGTCTTTAACAGTTTTAAAGCCTAATGATTTAGTGTTTGAGTGCGTTAAGGCACAATTTGGTGGTAGTTTGCGCAATAAAAAGGCCTACCAATTTTAGGATCCCTACTTGGATCATGTTGGGAGTTGTAGGTCTATTTTTCTGTCTAAACTGGCTTCTGCTTAACTGGATTATGCTTAACAGTAAATATAAGGTTGTTGTTGTTACATTATTCCACCATTTTCATTCTGCAAGGAGCCAGGGTAGCATGAGTGATCCTCTTCCTCCTCTTCACTTTATTTGCCCAACAACAGCCCCGTGAGGTAGGACAACCCATGACTGGACCAAATCAAGCTCATTTGGGGAGCTTCTTGGTGTAGGAGGGGAAAAATGCAATGAGGTGTAGAACAAGATTTTTAAAATACAGTCAGCCACATTTTTAAATGGCATTGGTGTCAGCTGGAAATTTTTCTTACATTTCGCAGTGAAAACTTAATAAAACATTGACATATTTGCGATTGGGTCCCCCAGCCCTAAATCCAATTTATTAGTCTTCACTGCAAGAGTACAAAATAAAACCCAGGGCGTGACATTGTATTTGACACAAAAATGCCTCAGGAATGGTTATTCTAATAATAAATAAAGGCTGTATTAAAAGACCAGGCCCCCACCCCCGAAGGATTCTGGGAATTCTCGCCTCGCACCCCCTCCCCTTTTCCCAATCGCCTCTGGAAAAGCGACACCAACCGCCGCTTTTCGTGCCCTTGTTAAAATTTAGCAACCGCTCATTAATATTAAGTTATGGGTCCGGCGCCTTATTAATATTTAGCAACCGTGTTATTCGTCGGGCGGAGATGCCCCGCCCCGTTCCCCCTTCCTCCGCCTCCGGAGGACACGCTTCTTTGACCGTCGCCCTCTGTGACGTCATCGGCCAGGGCCGCGGCCTCTGGCGCCGAGGAACGGGGAGCGCGCGGTGCGGGGTGGGGGGAAAGGGGTGGGATGGCGGCGGGCCCGACGCGGCCCCCCCGGCCCCGGAAGGAGCCGCAGCCGCTGGTCATTCCCCGAAGCGCCGCGGAGGAGCAGCGCCTCAAGCTGGAGAGGCTGATGAGGAATCCGGTGAGGGGGCGGAGCTCGGCGGCGGGGCGGGGCTACCCTTTCCTCCCCCAGGGTGGCCCGTGGGAGCCCCCGCGGAAGAGGACCGCGCTGCATAAAGTTTGCCTGGGCTCGCGTCTGCGCGGCGCATTTGGTGCTGGTGGCACAGAAATGCTGCGCAGCCGGGAGAGCCCCGTCCCTGCTTGCTGCCCAGTCGCCGCGAGCGGGATGGGGTGGCCCCGGGGCGCTGGAGCCCTGAGCGCGTCCTCTGGCAGAGGTGCACCCGGGGCCGAGGCCGCCCCGCACAGCTGGGCGTTCGGTGTGTCTGCTGCCCCTAGCATTGCCATGGCCAGGAAAGGCGAAAGGCGCCAAACGAGAGGGCACAGGTTTGCATGCAGTGCCTAGTCGCCAGTGTATATGGATAGCTGTGCATCTAGGAATAATGACTTGTTTGAACAGGAATGCAGTTGTGGAGAAACTGGCTGCCTGCATTGTCCAACTGCAAAGGGCAGCATAGAGGCTCATTTGCCAGCTTTTCCTTTGGATAATTCTTCATCTTGAAACTTGGCTTGGTCTGGAAAGCTTTTCAAACTAGAGGGAAGCCCTTTAGCAGTAGTTCAAATGGAGGACTGTGCTCTGTAAAAAAGACGGAGTTATTCTGCAATTCCACACCATAATATCCCCTACCTAGTTTGAATGAAGATGAAGGGACTCCCTTCATTGGCTTGCCATCTCCAGCTGAGCCCTTTTTTTTCTTAGGTTTGGGTATCAAGTTCGCTGGGGATGGGGGGAGAGAATAATGTGCTTCACCTCCGCTGCCTCCCCACCCCCAGCATAACCACCCCTTTCTCAGTTGCCTTGTATGAGGAGAGTTTCTGCCCACCCTTAAGGGGAACTACTGCTGCAGTCACACTGGTTACCATCTCTTTGTGGAAGACTGATAGATGCCCACTTCTTAATCTTGGATTTCGTTACCTCTGAAGGCAAGCACACCTGTAGTGGAGCATCTGCAGAGGACTGTAACACCCATGTCAGTTTAGATGATATGGGCCCCTTGAACTTGCCCCTCTGGCAGGGAATTTCACCCCCACCCCCTTTTACCTTTCCCCTTGTTTTGCATGTATGTATCTCCTGAGCCAGTTTATGTGTTGCCTTTCCATGTAGTTTGCAAAGGAGACTTACAACCATGGTGTGAATAGATTTATTTTTGACCTTGGAGGATACACCTAGATTTTTCCAGCCTAGAGGAGTGCAACAAACTTGATTATTTTATGCTTTCTGTCTTATATGGAAGCTTTCACCAATAGACTGGTACCCTCTTGCACTACTGTGATGCTTCTGCAGTGAAACAGGCCCAAAGTAGCTAGAGGCCAGTCCAAGAGCGAAGCTTGTAACCTCCAGGCAGTTCCTTCCATGCAGTTCTTCAAACAGGGAGCTGCTTGATGGCAAGTACAATACAAGAGGGTGTCTATAGAATTGATGTAATTTGGGCCCTTCTTAATTCGGAAACAGTCCTTGCTTTGGGGCAAGTTGGTTCTGTTCCACACCTGCTTTGAAGAGCACAGCACACAAAGATCTGCTGAAAGCATATTTTAAAATTTTAAAATTAAATGGGGGAAGCAGCTGTGGCAAGCAAAAGTTGTGTATTTTACAGCAGTCCTCTGTCAGTGTTTGGTGAGTTCTGATCTTAGCTAAAAGACTGCAGTCCTGTGTGCAAAGAAGTTTGAATTGTGTCTTGTGTCTTTAAAAAAAACCTGGAAGGGCGATTCATAAATGCAATGAAATATTCCACTCACATCCCAGATTCATCCCAGTAAGCGCTTAGGACGAAAATCGGGTGGAAATGCTGTGCCCCATTCTTCTTCAGATCCCATTGCATTCCTGTGCCTATGCTTGCGGGTGACTTTGGATTCTGCCTGCTTCTCTGAAGCACCTTGTGCAGCAAATGTGTGGGGCCAGCTGGCCCGCTCAGTGTCAGGAACTGCAGCATGGGTCAGGTGCTGCAGGAGTGCCTGCAGGGCCAGGTGCACACCTGTAGGACCTTGCAGGGACTGGATGGAGCTCCTGCAATCACGCGGCACAGGTGGGAGCTCTGCGAGGCACCCCAGAAAGCCTTCCTGCAGCACTCAGCCTTGCCACAGCGGCACGGGCCTGCGTTGCTCTCGGGCTTTGCGCGCTGCCCCTCTTGTCTTCCATCTGAGCTTGCCTTGGCAGGCGCCTGGCCCTTCTCCTAACTTTGCCTTGTTCCCGACCCTGCTCACTCGGGCAAGTGTCTGATCTCAGCTTGCCTTTAGGCCTTGCCCTGGCCTCTGGTCCTGGCACACCTTGCCAGGCTCAGCCCCTCGCCTGCTCCTGACACTGCCTTTGCTTCGAGGCCTGCTGTGACGTGCGGGTACCTGGCATTTGCTCCTGGCTCTGCTTTTGTACCTGCCGTGCACTGCCTCCTTGTTGTCCCCGCTTTGTCTTACTGGTACTCGGGCAGGGCTCAGGCAGCTTCTGCCTCTGCTACTCTAACATCTTGCTGAGCTTTGGAACAAGCACCCTACCGAGGCCCACCTTGCACCGGGCTCAGTCTCTTTCCGGCAGCAGGTTAAGATGGTCTGCGGGCAGTGAACTAGTTTACTGAGGCTTCATTGACTGCTTAAACGGGTCTTAAGATTTGCTTTGTAGATGCTATTGTAGTTCTGATTGTTTTAAGCTTGGTTTTAAATGTGTGTATGGGAACCTTTTAATGATGTTCCCAATGCCGTTCATATTTTATACTATAGTCTCTGTGTTGTTGTAAACCTCCCACAGAGCTTTAGCAATTGGGTGGAATAGAACTTGAAATAATAAGGATGATGCTGATGCTGATGATAGGCCTTGAGCACTCTTCAGCACCCTATTCCCAGTGTTCAGTCATCTACATCCCAGCTCAGGAAAGCTTTAATGAGCCCGACCCCACTGCAGTTCAAGCCAGCAGCTCTGCCCATTTCTCTGAACTCACGTGTGGAATATGGGATCAGACCCAGCAGTTTTGTTGGGCTGGATCCGGGCTTGTTCATATTCGGAGAAAACTTGATGCCGCTGAAAGGGTCATCACTGACTTGAGCTCCCCTGAGTTCAGCGAGTCTGCTCTCCTTATGACTTTGTGCATAAGCAGAATGGGTTAGATTTAGACAAACACAAGGAAATACACGGTGTGTTGCTTTTGATGTCGTGTATGCAGCCAGGCATCCGGTGGGTGCGTCACTGGCCCTTCCCACGTCTGCCTAGATGCAGGTTCTAAGTATCTAATGAATCGTGCTCCCCCCTGAGAGGCGAGCGTCAGGCTGCTGTTCATTTCTTGTTGCAGGATAAGACGGTTCCAATTCCCGAAAAGCTCAACGAATGGGCACCCCGCCCTCCTCCAGAATTCGTCAGAGATGTTATGGGTATGTTGCTATTTTTAGGGGGCATCTTGGCTTTGTCTGGTGCTTCTGGAGGAGGGTATGAGCAGGGAAGGGTTCTGGCGAGGGAGTAGCTGAGCGGCGGCAGGAGAGGACGCGAGGCACTTGTTTTGGAGATGCTTTAGGAGACTCTTGGTACCATTTTGTGTTTTGCTGGTAACATAAACAAAGAGCATCTACGTCTCGCCAGTCATGAGGGGATTGTTGGAGTGAGTCATTTGCACTTCTGAATCTCCATGTTTTTAAATAATGTGTCAAGTTTATGACTATAAATATGGAGATTTAGAAGGATGAATGAGTCAAGTCTCTACATCTAGAATTATTGTCCCCATTGGCTTTGGGAGATAATGAGCTACATAGGCAGAGATTTGAAGCTGGGTCACCCCTTGCCAGGGTATGCAGGTCCCATGATTCTGCAGGAGACTTGCTGCCTCAAAAGTTTGATCTTTGTTTAAAAGCGAAGGCCCCTGTGTCAGAGAAGACATGACGCAAAGTGGTTGGCAAATTCTTATGCTGGAAACTGAGAAACCAGCAGAGCTGTAGAATAAGGCTTCGTTGCTCAGTGTTCCTTCATGACTCATACAGCAGCAAAGCTCGGAAAAAATATGCAAAATAGAATAATTTTTGCTCAATTTTGCATAATTAGTACAAGTGCATAGCTGTCCTTTACTTTTCGTGTGGCATATTCAGAGCCTTTCATCTGAAGGATGTTTGTGACAATATTTATTTGATCTCTTAATACTTAGGAGAAAATGAAGGAAAACATGGTTCATTGTATTTGCTATGCTCCACCCAAACAAGGTAAAATGTACTGTCCATCTAGCCCAGGGGTCGGCAACCCGCGGCTCCAGAGCCGCACGTGGCTCTTGAACCTCTCTGCTGCGGCTCCGTTGGTCAAAACATGCACCGGCACAGCCGCTGATCTGCTCGAAGGAAGCTCCACTCCTAGCTAGCTAGTTAAGAAAATCAGCTAGTTAAGAAAATCGCTACATTCCTCTGCTAAACAAGTTTCCTGCAGGCTCTCATGTTACACAAAACGCTGCTGAAAGGATTCTCTTTGTCCCAGTGTAATCCCCTTTATCCAAATGTTAAAAGCTGCGCTTGGGACCTGTCACAGTTCACAGCACTTGACTGTTTATCTGCTAATCGGTCACTAAACACACCTATATCTCCTCATATCCCGCAATTTACTGCGCTCCCCCTGCCCCCCCCATAGGCCAACCATGGATAAATCGAAGAAAAGTTTCTGAGGAAAACCAAACGTTTAATGATACGTGGGCAGATTCATTTGCTTTTACTGCTGACGGACCTATGGGGTTTGCTGTTTTATGCATGCAGCCCTTTAGCACTGACTTTGACTCTTCAGGAAGCTGTTCTCCTATTCAAAATATATGAAAGGAGTCCTGCTAGTTTATAATGTAAGATTAAAAATAACAGTTTTTAGTGACTGAACAAGAGCTGCAGCTAAATCATAATGAAGATATACCTAGCATTAAGGTGAAAAATGATATTTGCAGTGTTATCTTCATTTTAGATGTCAAAAGGGTTTTGTGGCTCCCGGTGTTTTCTTTTGTGTGGGAAACGGGTCCAAATGGCTCTTTGGGTGTTAAAGGTCGCCGATCCCTGACCTAGCTGATACTGTCTCTTCTGAGTTGCAGTGGCTCTCCCATGGTCCCTTTCAGCCCTGCCTGGTGCTTAACCTTCTAATTCTGGCAGGCTGCACTTGGGGGGATCAGAGGGGGAAATGTGGCTATCCCAGCCCCCTGCTTCCCCTTTTTCACTGGGTGTCCTGTCTTTAGATTGTAAGTGTTTTGGCAGAGATCGCCTTGTTTCACTGATTGCATGAAAACTTTTTTTTGGTTGAAAAACAAGATAAATACTTTAAATATGTTGGGTGCATGTACTGTCACTAAGGCCTGGCCCCTTCCCCAATAGGTTCTAGTGCTGGTGCCGGCAGCGGGGAATTCCATGTCTACCGGCACCTTCGGCGGCGAGAGTACCAGAGGCAAGACTTCATGGACGCCATGGCTGAGAAGGTCAGATGATTCTTCCGGACAGGGTCTGGGTGAAGTCTGTTAGTCACTGCGTTACATGCTTCTGCTGTTTGCTGATCTTGGTGGTTTCCTTACCTACATTAAGTTTTCTTATAAAATAACTTCTCTCCTAAACAAACAGGTTTTGCATTTCAGTAGAAATCTTCCAGGTGTTTGTGACAATGATATCAAAGCACCTTCAGCTGAGGTTGAGCCAGGTCCTAGTGAGTAGGGAACAGAAAGGATGCCCCTTTCATCTCCTGAAGCCTCTTTGTTTATTGTGGGGAGGTAGATTGCCCGTTTCTCCCTCCTTTCCAGAATAGCAAGAATGTATAAAGATTCATAAATGGGTACAATTACCCACTTATATGCCAAGGCTGCACGTCATGGTTGGTAGGCATAGGGAAAAGGCAGAGTCCCTGCTGCCACCTTGGAAAAGCTTCCAGGATCACACGATTCCTGTGCCAGCAGAGGCCCCAAAGAAGGAAGGCCGTCGTTAAGAGGGGCACGGTGTGCGGAGAGGGATGGGGAGGCACTGCCAGCTTTTGCCGAGTTCCGAGTGGTGCCTCTGCGCCTCCTCCTTGCCAGGGGTGGGGGGAATACTTAGGTGTCCAAAATGGGATGTCTAAATATTTTTTTAAAACAAAGCGAGAGCAGAAGCAATCCTTTACCTTCACACTAGATTGGATGCCTGTAATCTGAATTTGGAGGGGTCTGTGTAGCCAAAATCATGTTCAAAATCATGTGTTTGATGTTGAAGGAATAATTCCAGGTTTGATTTTTTTTAAGCATAATATTTATTTCAGTTTTTCCCAGAATATTTCCTTTTCACCCGCCAGGAAATAATTTTGTCTATTTTGAATTTGGCTGTGGCTTCAAAATTTCTGGAAATTTAGCAACTCTAGCTGAAGCATCAGTCCATCTAATGGAGCATTCTGGTTCCTGCTGCAGCTAGGGAGAAATCTCCAGAAAGCCTATAAACAGAGGAAGATGGCAAGAGCCCGCTCCAACATTGCACATCTGCAGCTGGTCTCTAGAGATAGACTATCCCTGAATATGGAGGCTCTATTCTTAAGTATCACACCTACGGCAAGACTCCTGCAAGAGCACATGAAACCACATTAAGCATCCAGTTGAAAGGCAGCTTAGAAAGAGTTAAATGAAATCCATACATGCCCACAGGGGGGAGTCAGAGCCCCCCCGCCCCCCGGGACGCTCCTTCATCAGAGAGCTGCAGCAGCCTCTCTCCCAAGGACCAGCATCTGTCTGCCTGTGGCATCTGGAGGCTCCATTGAGTTTCCGTGGCTGGTCCTCCTCGGCTCCTCCGTGAATTTCTGCCGCTGCCCGTGCCCCTCGCCACACTTTGCGGCTGTGCATCACACAAGGGGGGTGCTGTGTCGTGTAAAGAAGGCTTCTTTCTACTTTCTCGGGGTGGGGGGGACAGTGAGGTGGCACAGATCCGTGGGGATGCTGCTTCTGCCCAAAGCTCATGCTCTTGCCTCCTCTTCCGCACTCGCCCGTCGTGGAAGCCTTCCTGAGCCTGGGGGCTTCCACACAGGGAGCTGGCGGCGGCTTTGGAGGCCTGGTCTTGTGCCTAAAACGTTGCTGTAATTGATTGCAGCAAAAGCTGGATGAGGAATATCAGAAGAAGCTCGAAAAGAACAAGATAGTTGCCGAAGAGCAGACGGCCAAGCGCAGGAGGAAGCGGTGAGGCCAAACTTGTGGAGAAACTCCAGAGGCGCTTCAGAGCAGTGAGAGCAGAGCGACTCTTCCCTGCCAGGGCTAGGCCACGGGGAGGGGGGCATTTGCCCCCCACATACACACACAGTGGATGCTCCTCTTCCTCTCTCTTTGTTTGTCCAGGACTGTGTTGTCTTTGGGCCAAAAAGCTTGAATTGGAGCAGAAGGGCGGGGGGTTTGTCTTTCAACTACAGTTTTTAGAAAGCCATTTTTATATTGTTTGGGCTAAATGGAAGGATGGAATGGGGGGGGTGCTTTGTGGATACCATTAGGACCCTCGCCCCCCAACAATTTGAGCTGCAGATCTGCCAACCCCAGAGAAGCTCAGGTGACACGCTTGCCTCTTTCTGTTTGCACGCTCACAGCTTTGGCATCTCGGTTTCCCAGAGAAGCGGGGCAGGCAGGGTTGGCTTTTGGGGGACGAGGGGGGGCTGGCTGCCGGCTTTTGTGGTGAGGCGGGTTTAGCTCAGAGGCAGCTGTTGGAGGCGCCTGTTCTAACAAGGGGCAGAGTCAGGGGAGCTGTCCAGCATCACGCCCACCCTCTGGAGCGGCGCCTTCCTGGGCAGTGCTTCAGGTGCAGAGGTTTCTCCCAGTGGTACATTGATCCCCTTAGCCAAGCGGAAGGGGAGACAGTGACAGCGAAACAGGTCGTGTGTCACTGGTTGGCCCTGGGCCTGGTCAGTTGGTGAGCAGTGACGACAGCAGCCGGTTGGGAGTGGGGTTGCTGCTCCCGTCAGGCAGGGGGAAGCAGGCTGTGGATGCTGGGAGGTGGCAGCAAGGTGGCTGGGTGGCGAGGATTGGCGACACGGCCTGCCCTGTGCGCCCCTAAATTAGCCCCCTGCTTCAGGTATGTTGGAGGAGGCTGCCTCATTAGGCCTCTCCTGCCAGCGTATGTACATGACGCTGCATGCAGGGCTTCGAGCAGCAGAATGTGGGCAAGCCTTCTGCGAGAGTGGCTGCATTCACACGACATGGTAGGAGCCCCGGCGGCGCTGCCTCATTCCCCTCATTTCCTGCGCCCTGTGTGGATTGTCCCAGCCTGTGAGGACGGCTGCAGTGGTGGCATGTGAACCCCCGGGATCCCTTGCTTGTTCTCCAGGAGTTTGGAAAGCGTGACCACCCGCCCCCTCCAGATTCAGACAGCACAACGACCCACACACGGGGCAGGGAGGTAGGGAAGCAAGGCAGCATATGACCGGCTGCGGCTTCTTAGCCTTCCCCGCTCATGTGGGAACCTAGTGGGTCTTCCTGTGAGCAGCCTGCGGGGGTGAGGGGATCCACGGAAAAACAGGAATGATGTCCGTGCAAACCACCGTCCGAGAAAGGGACAGGCTGCTGCCCCCGGGGAAAGAAGCCTCCGTGCAGGCGCAGCTGAGTTGGCTGTTTCCCTGTTTGTGCTGGTGCCAAATCACTCCTGCCTGTTCTGTGAAGAGAGAAAGCTTATCTTCTAGGGGGCTATGGGTGAAGAAGGGCTACCCCTGCAGAGTGGAAGTGGCCCCTTGGATAATAACTTCCCTCTTGCAAAACATTTTCAAGAGCTTTTTGCTTCTGATTCTGTTAAAAATGGATTCATCTGCATTCTGGAGGCTGGAGCATTACGTTCGGGCAGCTGCGCAGTCCGGTGGACTGTTTTTTACTGTGCTGGAGTTCACGGAAGGCTGGAAAAGGGGGCTGAGGGTCTCTCAGAACATTAAACTTGTCATTTCTCCCCTTGCAGCCAGAAAATGAAAGAAAAGAAAATGCTAGCAAAGAAGAGCAAACTTGAGCAAAAGAGTGAGTGTGCAGGTAAGGTGGAGTCCAGCAGGAATCTCCTTCCAAGAGGGGTGGATTAACTGAGAGTCCTGCCCTGAGCAGGAGGCTGGACAGGATGGCCCTCTGGCCCCTTTCGATGCCGCTGCTCCTCGATTCTGCGATTCTTCTCTCTGGCACCCATTCACATCGCTAGTGTGTACCTGTAACGCAAGCCAGCCTGCGCTTTGTGTGGGTCCTTGGGGAATTGGGCAAGGGCAGAGAGAGCCCTTCTCCAGAGGAAAGGAGTTAGCAATGCATCCTACACAGGAAAGTTGTTGTTATTCCTTTTTCTCAAAGCTGCCTGGACAGCAGAGGCCAACACATAAAATTCCTGAAATTTTAACAGTTTAATGTCAGGACAGGAAATAGAGGGAGGGGCACTTTCATGAAGCATTAAACGCTCTGTGGAACCAAGTGGCTGGGGCAAAGCACATGGTGCTGCTTTGTCATCGTTCAGTCTGTTCTTTTTATGCTATTATTAATATATTAGTAGTATCAGAACTGTTGTAGTTCTGCAGAAGTTCTCTGGGTGGTTTACAGTAGCACGTAAAATACAATAAAATACCATATAAAAGTACAAATAACAGAAACATCACGAAACATATACTAAAGATTTTAAAAGCCAGGCTTAAAACCCAATTTAAACAAGTCACAAAATTAAGACGGTGATAATTCTCAAATATCCCCAAGAGTGAAGAAAGAGCAGCTACATTAAGGCTTGGAGATTCTCTTAACTCTGGGAATTCCGAGGCCCTGAGAAGGAAACCGTTCCAGTGGGTGTTTCTGGCTGGTCTCGGCGGAGCTGGCCGGCAGGAAGTAGACACTGCTGCCTCCCCAGGCTGCCATGGGGAACATGGATTTGACCCTAACATAGGCCATGAAGACGGTCCTATCCAGTTACAGGAAAGGAGTTGAAGGCATGTCACTGCCCCAGATGTTCCCTGTCTATGGGGAGGTGCAGGGAAGAAGGGCCTAGAGGCCTCCAGAAAGCAGGACCTAAAGATTCCCCTTTCCCTTCTTCCCAATAGCTGACACTCAGTGGTACTGTGCCCCTGTATATGGAGGTTCCATCTGGATGCTAATGGGTCTCCCGAGCGAGTCACCTGTTTTTTGCATGCCTTTTCCAGCTCAAGAGTCTGACTGTTCCCCAAAGCAGCAGGCCAGTGAAGAGGAAGCCGAAGGCCCTTCCGAGGATGAGGAGAAAGACGATGCAGAGGAGCCCAGCTTTGTGATGAAGAGATGATGGTGCAGACACCACAATGGTCCTCATCTTTACCACGCAAGGAGCTCCCTTGTGCTGCCTCAGGCCTTCCTTACTGCACAGGTGTGCCCGTCAGGACCCGTGGGGTGTCAGCGCTGGAACCAAGTCACTTCCAAACTTGCTTGTGTAACTGCCATGCAGTCTGCTGGGAATGTCAGCATCCCGCCCCTGCACCCTCCAGTTCTTCTGCTGATGGGTGCTAATGCTTTATCCATCTGTGTTTTCAGGCTGATCCTTTCCCTCTGGGAGACCTAAGTAGGCAAATGGGTTTCTGGGTGTGGAAGAGGCTGGACTTTGCGGTGACTCAGAGAATGATCTGAGCTTTCCTGTAAGAGGAAAAGCAGACTGACTTCGGGGCTTCTGCTAGGGTTGTCTGCAGCTCTTGGGATTCTGCACACGATGGGATGTACGCACCCAGTAAGAAGATCTCTCTCGAGCTCAGAAATGTGCCATCAGCTTTTACCCTATGCATTGTTAATAAAAGGAGGCTTGCAAGCCGTTTACTTGAACGATGCACATGGCTTGGTTTATATTGCTGCCATGTTCCCTGAACACTGACCCAGCTGGCAGGCGCTGATGGGATTTGAAGTGCCAAACCCCTCGCCAGCACCAGGTTGGGAAGGCTGCAGTGGTTTCTCCCCTTGTCAATTTCTCTGTCATTGCCCGTTGTCAGCGACCCTTTGAATCCCAGCTGTTGGAGAATGTGTAAAGCAATGCCCCGCAAGTTGACATGCCATGTTTGTGAGTTTCCCGCGGTACCTGGCTGTTGGAAATTAGATGCTGCACCTTTCTCAGTTCTTATTTCGGGGGTGGGGTGGGGGGGTGAGTGGGTGCTTTCTTCCTGAAACACAGTGGCTAAGCTAACCAGAAATGGAAAGCCCACAATGTTCTCAAAACCCAGGTTTGCCCTTCCCTTCACAAGCAAGGATTCATAACCCAAGACCAAATCCTGGGTTGTAGAGGAAACAAAGGCAGCAACTTGGGTTCAGACAACACACAGGGTTTGACATCTAGTTCATTGTCATGCCTGTTAGCACAGTGGTTGACAAACTTGTGGGTCCCCGTATGTTTTGGTCTATACCCCTCATCGGCTCCAGCTAGCACGGCCAGTGGTGAGGGGTCATGGGGATTGTAGGCCAAACCATCTCAAGGTCCATGAGTTACAGGGGAGTGGGTATCAGGAAGCAAAGGGCAATCGGGATTCTGTTATATCCTGTGCAAATGCTGTCAGTCTGTTTGTAATGTTGAACTGAAGTGCATATGAAAGACTGAAGGCCGTTTTAGAACAGTGGGGTCGCCCCTAGCCACATGACGGGCGTTCTGTGCGGAGCTGTCCAGCTGCAGTACTTTAGTGAGGGGAGGAAAGAGGCTGAGGAGTGAGCAGGATGGATCCTCGTGGCAAGGCCTGTCTTCTGCGCGCTCTACCCCACCCTCTAAGCCCCTCTAACTGGAGCAATCTTCATGCTGGCTGTGATTTCAGGCATGGGGAGTGAGTGAGTGAGTGATTTATTTGTTTGTTTGTTTGTTTGTTTGTTTGTTTGTTTGTTTATTTAAACCATTTCTACGCCGCCCCATTTGCCGAAGCCTCGGGGCGGCTCACAACATAAAATATATTACATTCACTTATACAACAAAATTAACAATATAAAATAAGTCGCCCTGGCCAGATAAAATAAGCAAATAATATTAACAATTAAAATGACGTTTAAATAAAAGGGTCTTCGCCTGGCGCCGAAAAAGAAATAACAACGGTGCCAGGCGGATCTGCGTGTGGCTGTGCAGTCGCAGCTGGGAATCTGGCTAGATTAAAGCTAACCTGTGAGCTGCCCGTGTTAGCAGGAGGGAAGCTGGTCTGCAGGAAATTTAAAGTGTTGCCCAGTGTGCTTGAGAGTATGGGACTGAGACTCGGGTGACCCAGCCCCACTCAGCCATGGAGGTTCCTGGGTGATGTTGGGCCAGTCAGACTCTTGACCCAACCTACCTCACAGGGGGGCAGGGGGATTACGTTAGCCTCCTTGGGTACCTTAAAAGGAAAAAAGGTAGGATATCAATATACTCAAACAAACGGAAGCTCAGCAAAATGGGGGCTTCTCTGTGATAGATTTATCGATGCAGCCAAGTAATTAGCAACTGATTTTAGTTTTAAGTAAGTATTTAGTGTCGGAAGCACTTGGAATGCATGATTTCACGAGACAACAATCCTGCAAGTTAGGCTGTTAGTATCCCATTTCTGGGACTGCAGGTGGTGCAGTGGTTCAAACCACTGTGCTGCTGGGCTGGTTGATGCAAAGGTCGCCGGTTCGAATCTGCACAACAGGGTGAGTTCCCATTGCTCCGTCCCAGCTCCTGCCCACCTTGCAGTTCAAAAGCATGCGAGTAGATGAAAAGGTGCCACTTCGGTGGGCAGGTAACAGCGTTCCTGCACCTCGGTGTTTAGTCATGCCGGCCCCGTGACCACGGAGACTGCGGACAAACGCTGGCTCCCTTGGCTAGGAAAGGAAATGAGCACTGCACCCGAGAGTCAGGCACGACTGGACTTAATGTCAAGGGGAAACCTTCCCCTTTACCTTTTATCCCATTTCTATGGATGTGATGGAGGAAGTCCGAGAGTAAAAGCATGATAGTTCATGGCGGAGGGATTTGAAATGGCCGTTGGGGCTCAGAGGTGATGGATGGATCAGCTTGCATCCATGCTGCACTGGCTTTTTGTTGTATTCTGATAAGAATCCCAGATCAGCTTTTGTTTGCGACCACCTGCATAAGTTGCTCAGGAGAATGCATGTTGTCCAGGGCTTCCTTGGTGTTGGCCTCTTTGTCGTGTTCGATTAGATTGAAGGACACAAGTCATGTGCAGACTGTTTTAGTATAGGACTCGCACTTCTCTTTGTAGCACCACCTGGGCACACGGTGCTTTCCAAGGAACAGTCTGAGCTCTCTCTCCCAGGGCTTTGTAGTCTAAAAACAGACGCAACAGATGCAAAACAGAAGGATGGAGAAATGGAAGCAAGAGACTGTGCACTTTTTCAGTCCGGTTCCTTTGGAATATTTTGGACTGCTATTTCCATTGCTCCTGACCATCAGTGGCATTGTCGGGGCTGATCAGTGATGAGTTTGGGTATAAAAGCAGAGGCATCAAGGGAGAAAAACGATGGAGAGTTTTGAAGTGTGGACATGAAGGGTTCAGAAGCAGACAGGAAGCTGGTGTGGGGATTTCGGATGCGTCTTGGCTGTTCTAATTCAACCACATCAGGAGAAGGAGAATGAAGACATTTGAACAACTCTGCGATGGATCGGTTCCATAATGCAAGGCACGGCCTTGAGCTGACTGAAGCTGAGCAGGGGCTGTGAAGGAACAAACACGCTGGACGGCTTCATCCCTAGGATCACGATGAGTTGGACTCAGCAGCATGCAACAACAGCAGAGGTATGGACCCATGGCTAGAAAACTCTATTGCTTTGGCTAATTTAACTTGGAACCTTCCTTTCTTTGTGAAAACAAGGTTCACCCTCGTTTTCTCTCTCAGAAAAATGAATGCCAGAACAGAGGTGGAGGCAGAGCCAAGCTCACATGTTGAACCTCATTCCTCGGTTATAAGTACATAATCCTGGCTCAAGCCAACTGCTTGCAAATTTGGTTCTTCTAAAAATGATAGCAGCTCTTCACTCTTTGGGGACAGATTCTGCAAAAAATCAAAGTAAATAGCCTGGGTTTGGAAAAGAGGCTGCTGAGGCCCAATCCAGCGCCGATTTTAGAACTGGCAACTCCATATAAGCTAGGAAGCAGTTGTGCAATTCAGTTCGAACCTTGTTGTAGTTTATGTGCCATCAAGTTGTTTCCAATTTATGGTGACCCTGTGCTTTGAAAACCCTCAGAATGGCCCCATCCGTGGCAGTCCTGCCCAGCTCTTCTAAATTTGTGGCCATGGGTTCCTTGATGGAGCCCTCCCATCTCCTAGTTGGTCTTCCTTTTCTTCTCCTGCCTTGGACTTTCCCTGCCTGGCGTCTCTAGGGAGCTTGGCCTTCCCATGATGTGTTCAAAGTAGGACCACCTCAGTTTTGTCATTGTAACTCAAAGGCAGTTAATTTAAACATTTAGAACAACAATGGGCTTTTGCCAGCATTCCTTTTTTTAAGCGGGGAGGGGGAGAGAATGAAAGTAGAACGTTGTCCTTTGCTTAGGGGCAAACTTTGCTCTTTACATGCTCAGAAACCCAGCAGGCGCAAGGAGAATCACCCCCCCCCCATAGCTCCTAAGGGAAGAGCTGCTGGCTGGGCGGGGGTGGGGTCCAGCATCGCAGGACCCGCTTTATCGCTGGAGGGACGAGCAAGAAGAGGCACGCGCCCTCTGCCCATGTTCAGCGGCACTGTCTCCACGGCAGCCGCGCGGGGAAGACGACTGGTCCGTGCGGAGGCACCGCGTGCCGTCCAGGCCGGCGCCGCTCCCGCCGCCTGAACGGCCGCGTGGGCTGCGGGGTGGGGGGAGGGCTGGTCACGTGCTCTGGCTCGAGGCGGTCACGTGGCCGGGCGCTGGCGTTGCCTTGGCAGCGGAGGCGGCGGCGGAGGGGTAAGTGGAGGGGGCTGCGCTGGGCCCCCTTGGGGTGGGGCTGGGGGCGGGGAGGGGCCCCTTTTTGCATATTCATGAGCGCCCGGCGAGGTAAGCCGCGGCCCGGCTTGAGACAGAAGGGAAGGGCGGGCGAGCGGGGCTTGAATGGAGCCCCCGGGCCGCGGGCGAGCCGCCCTGAGTGCCGGCAGCTTCCCCGCGCGATGCGACTGCAGCCCCGGCGCCCTCCGGCCGGGCCGATCCTCCGCGGTCGAGCCTCGGCCGGCGGACGGGCGCAGCCCCTTCTCGCCTTCCCAGCCGGCCGGCTCCCTGGAGCCAGGGTGACTTACTCCCGAGTAGGCATCCGCAGGTTTGCGTTTTCCATGCCATGCTTTTCAGGTCGGGAGTGAGAGCAGGCCACCTGGAATGTGCAAACGGGGAATCCCGAAGGAAATCCCAAAGGCAGGTGTGTGGCTGCGGAGGACGCAGGGCCACGGCCAGGTGGAGGTGTCTCTGTGTGCCTGCAGGGATGCTGCTGGTGTAGGTAGCGGTGTATTCAGTTGGCACAGCCTAACCCTGAAGATGCTGGGGCTCCCCACCCCACTGCGAAGCCCCCTTGGACTCCCCCCACCCCAGTTTTTGTGCCTGGCCTGGCATCAGCTGCAGCAGTTTGATTTTCCACCATTGCTTCTTGACCCAAATGGGGCCAGGGTGGATTCTTGGAAGCAAAGATGGCTCAGGAGCATAGGGCCTCATTTTGAAACAGGCCAGCTCTGGCTATTTTTTAAAAAATATTTATTCATTTCATTCCATTTCTATGCCACCCCATAACCAAAGGTTCTCTGGGCGGTTCACAAATGCTAAAAACAGCATAGAATACACAGAATACAATAAAAACAATAAACAGATAAAACAATAATAGATAAACATCTCATGATAAAATATAGTCACATCCAACATAATAAATGCAGCCAGTAAATTAACTAAAAATTAAATTACATTATATTATATTAAAATGAGTACTTTAGAAAACAAAAAATTAAAGAAAAATGGTTATGGAGTCTGTTGGACATTAAACCCCATGTCCACTTGTGTGCGCAGGCATCCCCATGGGAATTCTTACGTACAGCAAGATAAAATATTTCAGCAATCCTGCGGGACAGCAGACTCTTACGGGAAGGCTAGTGGGAAGCCAGGGCTTCCTTTTGCTTGTGCTGTTGGTTGCTTAGCTCTTGTTTGTAGCATCGGCTTGCTGTTTTGTTCGGGTGTTTGGTGTGTGCCTGGCCTTCTTCCGGTAGCTCAAGCTCCTTGCTGTCTGTCCTGACTGTATGTTATGCGACAGAGTACTTGTGGGTCCCTGCCCCAAGGAACTTGCAGGAAGCAGGTCAAAGGATAGGAGGGATGGAACTCTGCACGGCTGCGTAGGGCTGATGTTGTGATGTGTTGTCAAGTCATCTTCAACTTAATGGCGCCTGGAAATGAAAGCTCTCTAAAATATCCTGTCGATGATAGCTCCATTCGGCTCTTCCAAGTTCAGGGCTGTGGCTTCCTTGAGCTGAGCACCTGCCCTGCATGCAGAAAGGCCTAGGTCTGATCCCTCACATCTCCAGGTCAGACTGGGGAAAATCTGTCTAAAACCCAGTCGGTGCTGACAGTTCCAGGCTTGATGGACCAACATTCCAACTTGGTGTAAGATAGTCCTATGCTCTCGATCTTTAAGCTTCCATATAGCCTGAAGTCCCTGATCTTGCCTAATCTTGGAAGCTAAGTGGGGTCAGGCCTGGATGGGAGATTTAAGCCCTCTATTGAGCAGGGGGTTGGACCTGATGGCATTCTAGGCCTCTTCCAACTGTAGGATTCTATGATCTCATATTTGGCATTCCCTTTCATCTTCTGCCTTCAACTTTCCCTAACATGATTGCCTTTTCCAGTGAGTCGTGCCTTCTCGGGATGGGTCTGGACAGCCTCAGTGTTGTCATGTTTGCTTCTAGGGAAAGCGCTGGCTTGATTTGATCTAGGATCCTCTTGTTTCTCTTTTGTATTCTGTCCTAACTGTCGCTTCTTGTCCGTGATACAGTTAATATACATCTCGACAGACAATTGCTGAGGCGCTTCCTTTCTTTCAGGACCTTTTGTAGCTTTGTGTGATCCACACAGTCAAAGGCTTTGCTGTAGCCTGTGCACCATAGACTGATTGTCTTCTGAAATTATTTGGGGCACTCCAGTAGCCAATGTATTTTTGCAACATGTATATTTGCCTCTTCCTTTTTCACTTTTTAGCATCGCTTTGCTTGCGTGGGAGATCATTGCAGTGGTCCCGTGGTTATTCCGCTCTTTCCCATCTTCTCTCTTGGGGATTGGAATATATATTGAACATTTCCAGTCTGTGGGCCATGGCTTTGTTTTCCATGTGGATTGACAATATTTTTAAGGATTTGGACTGATTTGTTTCCTGCAGCTTGGAATAGTTCCGCTGGTATCTCTTCTGTCTGCTCCGGGCGCTTTATTCATTGCACCTGCTTTCAGAGCAGCCCTCACTTTGCTTTCTAATGTTGCAGGCTCTTGTTCACGGGATTCCACTTTGAAGAAGGCTGACATCCTTTCATCTCTTCGGTGTAATTCTTCTGTATATTCTTTCCACCTTCTCTGTATGGAAGAGAACTGATAAAGTAGCATGAGGGATACAATCCTAGGCGACTTCCAGCATGCCCCCTGTTCCACTGATGTCAGTGGGTGTGATGAAAGGAATTCCATGGGACTGATCACATCTGGATCGTGTCCTTTTTGTGTTTTGGTATCATTTCTCTCTCTGCATGCACTGATTTCATCCTGCACTGATTTCAGGGCTCCCTTCCACTGTCCTTAAAAAGCACCCCCCGTTCTCCCACTACCTGAAACTCCCCCGCTGAAGATGCACACCATGCAGGTGTATGTATGCACTATTCCAGGAGAGCCCCACAAGACAATCCCCCCTGGAGGGATTAGACTTAGAGGAGGGCTGGGACTTGGAGGCCAGCTTACATTCCTGCTGAAGTTAATTGGGCGCTCACAGGACTTTTAGATTAACTTCCCTCATAAGCTTGCTGCGAGGATAGAAACATAGGAACAGCGTGAGTCAGAAGAGGTCTCCTGGACCATCCAGTCCAGCCGGCTCCGCTCACGACATGCCCACCATGTGCATGTCCAGCCTATCCTTGAACACCCGCACCGATGGGGCCTCAACGACCTCTCGTGGAAGCCCATTCCACACCCTCGGGGTCCTGACTGTCAGGAAGTGCTTCCTGGCATCCAAATGGAACCTTGGCTCCCTGAGCTTGGCTCCGTTGCAGCGCGTCCTGAGAGAAGGATCGCACACAGCCAGGCGGCTCCTTGAAGGAAAAGGTGGGTTCTTGATCAAGCAAATAGTGACAAGATCGCATACCCGGTCCAGGAAGTTGTGGGCCAGGGAAGGAATGGCTCCAAGCAGAAGACACACCACGCCACGCAGAGAGAGGGGAGCTGCTTGGCACTGGCCTGATGCTTTGCTTTGCTGCGACGGAATAATTTCCACATCTGTGAGCATGTAACCTGCCCAGTTTGTATGCTTAAAGCCTCAGATTTCAGCTTTGCCAGCACACACGCATTTTTCTAGAGAGAAATGTAAATCCTGCCTGGGGGATACTGGGTTTTGTGGTCCAACACCTCTGCTGGGCACCAGGTTGAGGAAAGCTAGTGTAAAGACACAGAACATGGTCTTGTTCCATTGTCTCCGCCGCCTCCTAGTTTGTCGGAATGAGCCATCCTGTAAGAAACACTTCCCTGTGAATTGCGCCAGCAAGTTTCAAGTACGGATGAATATGCATGAGCCTGTAGGGGGGTGTGGGTGGCTATTTTGCATGAACTCTGGAGTGTGGAGGGAGGCAGCGATGACATTATTTGGTCTGGAGGGTGGCTGCCGCAGGAGATGGCGGCGTGCAAGATGGTTCGGTCTGGAGGAAGAAGTAAGAATGCTGGGGAGCGGGGAGCGAGGTGGGATGGACGAATTCGGAACAATGAGCCCCTTAGAGAAGCTGGCAATTGGCCAGCAGAAGCAGAGAAAGAGGGCGTTCTTGGAAGGCGGTGTGGTCTCAGGTTCGGTGCGGGCAGACCGAGTGAGGGCTGCCTGGATGCCGGATGCCTCGACGATGTTAACGTCAGCGGGCCGGGGAAGGCGCGCTGAGCGGGGCGGAGTTTCTGATTCAACAGGAGCGGGTGAAATTTAGTGTAAGTGCTCTCATTGGGTAGCCCTTGCGTGTTGCACGGAGAGATGATGGAAGGTACCACTTGCCTTTTCCAGCCTTCCCCGCCCCACTTCTCTCTGTCTGCGCGTGTGCACGCGCGAGCATCTTCCGTGAAAGGCCCGCTGGAGGGGAAAGAAGAGGGCTCGGTGCGGGCGCGGCTGTTCCGCCCCCATTGCCTGCTCGCGACCAGGCAGCCGAGCGCCGAGGCTTCGCGCCCTGCGGTCTTCGAAGCAGAGATGGCACACACGGTCAGACGCAGCACCGGGCAGCCCTCCTCGCGCGCTGCCCCTCTCCCGAACGCCTCGCTGACGTGACTCGCGGCGAGACCCGGTGCCCCCGCCCGGGCAACGCGCGCCGGCGCCCGCGGAGTCGCCCCGCGGCCGGGCTTCCCCGGGCGGCGTCCTCCGGATCAGGGTAGGTCCCCCCCCCCCGCCCCGGGCGAGCCTCCCTTTGAAATAGACTGACCCCTCCCCGGCCTCTGGCTCCCTCCCCCCGGGCTCAGATCGCCGCGTTCGGCAGGGATCGGGAAGGAGGACCGAGATGTGCGGAGCGGCTTTGTCATGATATAAAGTTCAGGGGTTTTGCCACCCCGTTCAGGGCTTGGTCACATGTCCCACTGCAACTGCAGAGAGAGCCAATGTGGTGGTTCAAAGCAGTGGACCTGGAGGACTGCAGTGACTCCAGTTCAAATCCCCAGTCAGTCGTGAACCTCACTGGGCGTCCTTGGGCCAGTTAGGACCCTGTCCTGTCCTACCTCGCAAGATCGCTGTGCTGGTAACCTCAGGGTGGGGGGAACCATGTGGACTGCTGTAATCTCAGTGAAGGAAAGACAGTCTATAATTGCAGTAAAGGACTTTATCTGTGTTGGAAAGATGTGAACACGCCTTGTGTAGCAAGTGGGCAGGTGTGCTAAATTTTGTAAACTAGCCTAGAGAAGTTGCAGCATGTAATGGCTTCCCCACACATGCATCTAGCAAAACTGTTTGTTTTGATTTATACTCTAAAGCACTTTGGAAAGGGAGTTCTTTCCAAGGTGTCCCCTAATGCCTCCAAACTATGGTTGGTGTTATTGGAAGAGAGTTCCTGCTTTCATTCTTGATGGGAATGCTCAGCCGTGAGGGAATTTGAGGACCTGGCTGTCAATTTTGGTCAGGAATTTCTGGACATTAGACCACAGTTTTGTTTGCTTGTTTGTTTGCACTGTTGGTTTCTGCAAAGGTTTGAAGCAGACTGCCCTGGATTCTTGCGAAAAGACCGCCTTCAGCAATTGTGTATAAATGCAAAGTCATGCTTAGCACATAATTGAAAGTCAAGAGGCAGCCAAGCAATTGGCAGTCAGCTATAAGATCCAGGAGTCCATAATTAGGCATAAACTTGGCTGGGCAAGTGCACAGGCCAGGAATCCCAACTTTAAGAAAGTGATCACAGCACCATGATTTCCATGTCTTTCTTGTGTGAAAGTCTTTCAGACTTGTGATCAAATTCCAACCCAGTCTAGCTGCCTATTTTCCCCCCAATACTTCTGTGCTATGTAGCTTGCATTTTCATTTGTTCCTTGCACAGTGAGCTTTTGCTTAGGTTGTTTTACTCCAGTTGTTCTGCAAGCGTCTTGGTGACAGAGTAAGAATTAGACCTGGTGAATTTCTTTATGATTTCTTCTTTTTTTATTGCTACAATTTTTTAAATGTTACAAAGCAAGCAGGCTGGAATGGGTGTCATGTGTTCAAATCTTCTGGTGCCTGCTGTTCATCTGGCTGCTTGCATTTTGCACAAAGCCCAGCTTCTGACACTCTTCAAGGGCAGCCCCACAGAGAGCACACTGTACGAATCTAATTCATTGGCCCATTCTGATGCTTTCAGAGCACAGCAGGCCAGGGAAACCAGGGTCATCCACAGAAGAGAATTGTGAGTATTATGTGTGCATGCTCTTTGTTTATCATGAGACATTTCTTTTTGTTAATATACTTGAAGACCTTTCTCATGCCAGCATTACATAGAAACATAGAAGCAGAGCGAGTCAGAAGGGACCTCCCAGGCCATCTAGTCTGACCCCCGGCTCCAGCCAGGTTCGCTCACGACATGCGCACCATGTGCATGTCCAGCCTGTCCTTGAACACCCGCACCAATGGGGCCTCAACCCCCTCCCTGGAAGCCCATTCCACACCCTCGGGGTCCTAACTGTCAGGAAGGGCTTCCTGGCATCCACATTGAACCTCGCTTCCCTGAGTTTTGCTCCACTGGAACTCGTCCTGCCCTCCGCTGCAGGGGAGAACAGGTCTCCACCCACCTCTGCGTGACCCCCCTCACACACCTGCATGTCACAAATACCTCTATGTCTTCAGGTATCTGTGCCCATTGTGATGCACAGAGCAAATGCAGAAAAAATGGCACCCTGAGCTGACAAAATGAGGAAGATTGTCCTGCTAGACTTCATGTCAGCAGGGGAAACGCCTGTTTTGACAAGTATTCTGAACTTGGCTGCACCATTGTGCAGAGAGGAAGCCCCATGGAAGGCCACCTTTCTGCTTTTCCAAGGTGTTTTGACGTTGATCGTTTTAATATTTTGGACTCTTCAAGGGCAGCCCAAGCCTTTCTCCACCTGAAGAACTTCATCACCAACAGCTGCCATTAGGATTGCAAAGATCACACCAGAATCTGGTTCTTTTGCATTTGCCAGACTTCTTTGCCATGCTCAGCCCTGGTCAGGAAGTGATTTCGAGTCTGCAAACATCTGGGAGCACTAGTGGCTTCCTTGTGCAAAGGACACAAAGTCACGTGTGTGGAAGCGGAATGCTGCTTGCACAGCATGTGTGCCAGCTGATCTCCCAGCCTTGCTTGGACAAACTTCTTGCCAGATGCCCATATGAACACTCAGCACTGGACAGACCTAGGGCAGAGAAAACCTGAGCCAGAGCCCAGGGAGCTGAGGAGATCCGATGGATTCCCACCCCCAAACGGGATTCCTCGCACAGCACTAGCTGTCACTCACTCAAAATTGCTGGTACTGCAAGAGAAGCTGTCCCAGGTCTCAGTGGGTCCCCATCAAGGTTGTGGCAGACTCTTGCGAAAGCTTGCGGGTCTCACGGGATGAGTCTTTGCCGGAGGAGGGTGTGCAGCCCTCCCCCACGTGGCCCGGCCTCTCTCTCTCGGCACCTGCCACCTGGCCAGGTGCAACACTGGCTAGCCTGGCGAGCTGCCAAGCAGCAAGATATGGTTTGTTTGTTTATTATTTATTTATTTATTTATTTAGTAAGCTTCTATGCCGCCCCATTCGCCGAAGCCTCGGGGCGGCTCACAACAATAAATAAATACATATTAAACATATAAAAACAATATAATTAGAGACATCCTGGCCGAAGATATAAAATCAATAAATAAAGCTAACAATTAAAATGACGTTTAAATAAAAAGGTCTTGGCCTGGTGCCAAAAAACAAATAATGATGGCGCCAGGTGGACCTCTCTGGGGAGCGCATTCCATAGATTGGGCGCCACCACAGAGAAAGCCCTCCTCCGGGTACTCACCCTCCTAATATCCTTCATGGAGGCCGGAGAAGGGCCTCTCCCGCTGATCTCAAGGAGCGGGAGGGCACGTATGGACATAAGCGCTCCTTTAGATAGCCAGGACCCAAGCCGTTAAGGGCTTTATAGGTAATAATCAACACCTTGAATTGGGCCCGGACTTCAATGGGGAGCCAGTGAAGCTGACGGAGGACTGGAGTCATGTGAACATAACGCCCAGTCCCCGTCAGCAGCCTGGGAGCTCTATTTTGCACCAATTGAAGTATCTGGACTGTCTTCAAGGGCAGCCCCACGTAGAGCGCATTGCAGAAGTCTAATCGGGAAGTTACCAACATGTGTGTCACTGTCACCAGGGAGTCGTTCTCCAGGTAGGGACGCAGCTGATGGATCAGCCAAAGCTGAAAGAAAGTGCTCCTCACCACCACTGTCACCTGAGCTTCAAATGAAAGCTCTGGGTTGAGGAGCACTCCCAAGCTGCGGACCTTGTCCCTAAGAGGGAGTGCAACCCCATTCAGGACAAGGTCAAGGTCTCCTTCCCTGAAGCCTGATCTGCCTACCAACAGGACCTCTGTCTTGTCTGGATTGAGCTTCAGTTTATTGGCCCTCATCCAGCCCATTACCTCGGCCAGGCACCGGTTCAGCACAGCCACTGCCTCACCTGGATTGGTAGAAAACGAGAGGTAGAGCTGGGTATCATCAGCGTACTGATGATTCTGCAGCCCACACCTCCTGATGACCTCTCCCAGTGGTTTCATGTAGATGTTAAACAGCAAAGGGGACAAAATGGAGCCCTGTGGTACTCCATGGCATAGCTGCCATGGCGCAGAGCCATAGTCCCCCAGCACTACCTTCTGGAATCGGCCGTTGAGATAGGAGCGAAACCACGGCAAAGCAGTGCCTCCGACCCCCAGTCCCGCTAGCCTATCCAGAAGGATACCATGGTTGATGGTATCGAAAGCCGCTGAGAGGTCCAGAAGAACCAACAGGGACGCACTCCCCCTGTCCTTCTCCCTGCACAGGTCATCGTACAGGGCGACCAAGGCAGATTCAGTACCAGACCCGAGTCTGAAGCTGGACTGAAATGGGTCCAGATAATCAGTCTCATTCAAGAGTGCTTGGAGTTGTCCCGCCATCACCCGCTCCAACACCTTGCCCAAAAACGGGATGTTGGCCACTGGTCTATAATTAGTGGCCATCTCTGGATCCAGGGACGCCTTCTTCAGGACTGGTCAGACTACCGCCTCCTTTAAAGGGGCAGGCACCCGACCCTCCCTCAGAGAAGCGTTAACCACTTCCAAGATCCAGGTTCCAATCCCGTGCTTGGAATCCTTTATTAACCAAGACGGGCAAGGGTCCAAAAGGCAAGTGGTGGGACGTACTCGTCCAAGCACCTTGTCCACATCATCAGGCCGCAATAACTGAAACCCATCCATCAATTTTGGACCAGACGGCAACATTGGTATCTCCCCAGAGCCTCTGGGTCACTAGTGGAGTCCAGCTCATGACGAATCTGAGCGATTTTCTCCCTGAAATGCTTGGCAAAGTTGTCACAGCAGGCCTTCGAGGGTGGTACCGGATCTTTCTTAGGGCCAGGATGAATTGGCCCTTGTACCACCCAAAAAAGCTCCGCCGGACGGCATTGTGAGGAGGCAATGGAAACGGAGAAGAATTTCTTTTTCGCCGCCCTCACCGCCACAGCATAGGCCCAATAATGGGCTCTTAAGTGTGTTCGGTCAGATTCATCCCGTGATCTCCTCCACCTACGCTCTAGCCGTCTCCCAACCTGCTTCATCGCCCTCAGTTCAGGAGTATACCAAGGGGAAGAGCGGGCTCTGCCCGGCAGGAGAGGACGCTTGGGAGCGTTTCAGTCGGAAGGCAGTCTGCCTCACCGCAGCGCTCCGCAGTCCAGTCAGCACAGTGGCGGGTGGCGGAGGATCAGCCAGCGGTGGGGTGGGGGCCCACGGCCCCCCAGAGGGCTGTCGGCTGCAGGGGCCAGTGGCTGCCGCCCACAGGGAGAGCCCGAGCAGTGTGGCTCGATGGCAGGGCAGGGGCCGCTGGCTCTGCGGATTCCCCCAGTCCGCCACCAGAGGCAAATACTGGGCTCCAGCTGCTCTGTTCTCGATAGGTTGGGTGCAGGCATGGAACTGAAGGCCCACTTCAGTTAGCCAGCAGGTCTGCTGTAACAAAATCAGATCAGGCTCTAACCCAGTAGAAAAGTAGGCAGTTTGGTCTACAGCGCTGAATCATCGTCGTCCTCACACTGCATTTATGCACCACGCTGGCTTTGGGATGGCATGGACACAGTGCATTTTACAAGCGACAGAGCACCGGCTTCCCAGGCAGCATCCTTCAGAGGAAAATGTAGGCTGTGAAGCATCTCTTTCAAGAATGCGTATACTAGTGCAGGGGTGCCTACAGGCATGCACCTTGTTTTAAAGGGTTGAAAATGATGTTCTGTGGCTTTTTAATAGGGGTTCATGGATATGAAATGCATGCAACTCTAGCAAATATGCACAAAGGCTTCAAGAAAGGTATTCGGCAGATTCCTTGTCCAAATAAGTATCCATTGGAACCTGCTCTCCATGTGCCAACTTGTTCAAATACTGTCGTGTCCTACTCCTTTGTAGAGAAGCCGTGTGCACCGACTGTCAATGTCCACAAAACACCTAAAGCATTTCAAAGAGCTGTTTCGGGACAACATTGATCTGTGACATAACCTCCTCTCACGAAGAAGCAACTCCTGGTCCTTACCAAAGTCCGCTTAAGAAGAAGAGAGCCGAGCTTGGCAATCCCTTGGTGAAGAGCTGCTGAGGCAGCAACAGATGTGAAGCAAAAGGCGTGGCGATCAAGATGCAGCGCAGCATCTGGAGAGGCATCCAGGGGACAGCCAAGCCTCAATCCTCCGAGTGGGCATTTGGCGGCGGCGTGTGGTGCAACGCCTCACATTCCGGTTTCTCTCACTGAACTCATGGGTAGGGCAGCTGGGAAGGTAACGGGAACCTGCCGCGGGGCTGCCTCAGAATCCCGCAGAAATCAGTGAATTCGGTTGGCATCCTGCTGCAACAACCTGTCGCGCAACTACTTTGTGCTCGCTTGTGTCGCTCACTGGCTGCCAATGTGAAGTCCGGCGCTCGTTTCCTACCAGTGCCTGTGTTCCTGTGCAGACCACATCTTGGAAGCGAGGTCCTTCGCACTGAGCTGGCATTACCTCGAGGTTCCCACATTAATCCGGCTGTGCAAAAGAGACCAGAATTCTTTCTCTTCCACCTAGCTTCCCCACCCCCAGTCCTGAGGGTGAGTGGAAGCGTTTCCCATTTCTGGGATGTGAGTCGATGAAAGAAGAGCAGGCCTTGAAGACTTGGAGCAAAGGAGAAGCTTTTTAGG